CTGAAATTGAACGACTTTACTGACCTGAAGGGAATCAAAAGTGCGTGATAATGGAGTCTAAAGATTACAACGAACAGACGCAAGAAGCCGCGTTTATACTGACGGAGGATGCGAGAGACGGCGTAGACAGAAAAATCACAACAGACTCAATTTTACACCGGTCTTTGCCGAATGCTGACAAATCACGTGGCGTCCCGTTCCCGCGCATTGTCAAGTTTCAGATCACACAACTGCTTCATCGCTTCATCGCGGCATGGGTTAAAGAAGTGGATGACCATGAGACTTTATGGACCCCGCTTTAAATCCTCTTCTAACCACTTCATTCATATCTACGGTTAACGTTCACCAGTCATCTGATGGCTTGTCTAGTTTCACCAAGCAAACTAACTTATGCAAACCTGATCTACTATTCAGGGGATCTTGCCTGAGGCTTCACAATGTCGATGTTCATTAGCTCAACGTGTCCATAACGACAAGTTACACATAGCCTAAGTTATTGCCAAGGCCGGGTGACGAAGTTTCACTTGGCTGGCTCGTGGCCAAGACTAATCATAAGGGGCAACCGCTCCAGTTTTCCCCACTCCGACATATAAGTAGATAGCGCAGCAGCCATTCAGGTGTAATCTCTCATCTTCGCTCAAATGCCGATGCCATCCAGTATTTTTCTACTGCTCTTTATCCTTGTGTTCTGTTTGTCAAATAATGGTGTGCACGCCTTTGGGGCAGGCAACATTCCTTCGTAAAGCAGCACAGTCCATTCCTTAAGTTCTTGTTTCACTCACGATTCGGTAGATATGCATTTGTCGAAGGCAAGGCATTTAGGCATGGTGATATCGTAGGCGGTCTTCAACCTGATCGTTAGGCTGCCGTACTGATCGCCCACCCTTTTTAGGAGGATGCGCTTGCAGACCTCGTGAAGAAGGGGGTTGGTGGATTCGCACTCTCCAGTCTCATTGGAAAGGGTCCCAAGTTTGGTGGCCTCGACATTAAGCGCGTATACTTTGGGTGTGTGTTTGCAGAGGCCAACACGTATTTCTTCGTGATCTAATTTATCAACCGGCATATAGCAATTGGTTGAGAGATTACAGTCAGGTAATTCAACGACTCTTCTAATGTTTGAAAGTTTAGCAACTTCACGACATTTGATAGGCTGTTGACATCAGTACACTGAAGAAAGTGAATTTGCAAGTACGTCATGATAATTACTCTCCCGATTTTCAAAATATCAATCTACGAATTTCCAGACGATCCTCAATTTAGTTATGGTGCTCGGGTTTATGGCATGTGCGGTCGTCGCCCTGAAAACTCGCTCTTACTCTGTTTTAGGCCAATGGATATGCCACTGGCGAATTTGAAGTCACGCCAGAGAGACTCGGTACATATTTGCCAGTAAGTGCCCCGTGACATATAAACTACATGACGTATTAATGCGCACCACACAGACAGAACATATTGATAACCCGAAAGGTTATGGAGAGGGAGAAGACGCCCGGCAGTATGACCCCAGACTGCGCGGCCCTGTCCATGTAGATATTGTTTTTGGTTACCACTTACCCTACTCACCTGTATCATTCTTTCCAGCCTGATGAACTCGCCATTGATCCGCAGACGGGAATGAAAAATTACATCGCAAATGGTTCGTCTCCTCACCTCGATTTCCTTTTGACCACAAGTGACTCATGGGTGTGACATAGAAAATGGCCATTGGGATACATCCAAGGCCCTCGTGCGTAGAGTACTCCAGCAGTGCATTTACCTCGGCAGGAAATACAAGAGTTCTGGGGATAACGCGGATCAATACGAGGCGTTTAGGCTCCTTGGACAAGCTGTAAGTTGAACATTCAGTTAAAAATCTCTACCTGTGGCGCATAGATGCACCAAATATGTGCGATGACCATGCGATATACATTGTAGCATCTAGTCCAGCCCGTCTTTGGTGTCTACTGTTTTGCTATGAACAACTCGCACTGCTTTTATCGCAACACTAATTGATCTAATTGAATAGCTCCACACCCTTGAAGACTTCCCTGCGCACTCTAATTTTTGCGAGCTTGCTCTGGTTTCCATGGGACACGGCGATGTATTTGTGCATATTGGTGATGCCGTACGAGTGCGAGCACACAACGGAAAGATGGTCCCGCCAATCGTTACCGGTGGGTCTTTTCACGCTATGGTATCGTCAGGAATAACCACGCTCACTATTATTTCTGTTCAGGAACGTTTGGATCGAGTGATTTTATTCACAGCCTGCTTGGAGGTATGTACCCATAGTCTCTTGTCCTAGTGGCGATTATTGAAACTTACTCTCGTCCAGAGGCTACCGATCACATCGTAAGATTATTGATCTGGGTGTACATCAAAATTCTCATCTTCATTCATTCTATAGAGCGAAGCTTCTGTCACGGATCTCAATAAAGAGTTTGATCGTGCACGCTCCAAGTCTAATTCGTCGAGTAGCATACTCCGCGATGCTTTCCTTAAACTTCCTGGTGGAAGCGGTGATAAGATGCGCGGTGATATGGAAGGCATCGAGCGCATGCGCACTGGGATGGAACGTGGGGATAGGCGGCCTGAGGACATGAGTCCGCAAGAGTTGCATAGCGTGCTGTGGAAGGTCTTGAGCTTCAGAGATTCTGGTATGTCCTTGATTTGATGCTCCTCACTGGTGTCTCACTCTTTCAAAGTTATGAAAAGTATATCGGGGATGTTAGGTGAATTTGATTGTTTACGACAAGCACACCCGGTATTGATGGATGCTACAGAGAAGATCCCTGGACTCAACTCGATTATAGAGAAGATTCAAGATTCAATTTCTGGTCGGTTCATAATCGACTCGTTGATGGCTAGGTCATACTGATGACTTCCCAACAGTGTTCGTTTTCACTACTTTGGAGGTAGGGAATTTGCTGAAAATGTGTCCTCCCCGCCGTGGTTGCTGATTACTCGGGACATAGCCTTTTTTGAAACCAATCCTGGAGACTGCGACGGCTGGACTATCATCGGCCTCATCGGAGGTTATCAACGAGCATGATCAATATGAGGTGAGTACTTCCCACTAAGGAAGTATTTGGAGTGTTTGTTTCGCGAGTGCTTCCGTGTCCCTCCGTGTTTTGATCTTGAGTTGCCTCGCTTTCGATCTTTCCGGAACCCGATGTTCGGTTTTTGTCGCATCACTCTTGGCCATCAGCTCGCTTATCGATCTCTCACTACTTCCTGATTTTGATGTCAACATCAACTGACGTCTCTTCCTCCGACAGGTGTTCAACAACCCGTACGCTGTGAGTTTGAACGACTTTGACACGTGCGGCAATAATTCCTTATCACCCCTTTACCCCACAGAGCGACCCCACGCATTCTTTCCTTAGCAAAGATCACTTTGTACGTAAACTCCATTTCTCCTCGAGGAGCTGCGCAATATCATTTGACTCATCAAATGTAATGCTTCCAGAACTTGATCCTAAATGAACCTGCCGGTAATATCGCAAAAATCATTCTTGTGAGTTACTCTCCGACATATGAAACCGCTGCGCTCAGCACTGTCATAGAAACATACTGTCAATTTGGTTACGAAGGCCTGGGACGACAGTTCACTCAATGTGAACCAGGTCACAGATCAGGTTTTGCAGTGCCTGTATGTCTTTTTTCTTTCATATTCTCGGCACAGATTGATCATTATCCGCAGCTTCCATCCCGACTTTCACCAATCTTCTTCCGTAGTCCAAACCGAAATGCTGGAATACATGAGATCGTGGGTGCAGAGTCTCGGGCGTAATCAGCACGCCATACTTGCACGTCTCACGAAGGAATCGGTGCGAGCGCAGAACAGCACTCGGTTAGCTGCCGATGGGAGTGTTCCTGTTTCTCATGCACAGAATGCGCAGATGCAGCAGGGCATCCAGGGGTTTGCGCAGGGGATTCCCGGTGCTGCACAGATACAGGGTCTGATGAACATGGTGGGTGGGTCTGCGGGGACGGGACGAGAGGGCGGTCAGTCCAGTGGGCAGCCCGGTTCCTACTACTCGAGGCCAGAGACAACCGCCTCGTATGGGACTGTACAAACCACCAGCTCGAGCTACGCGCCTCCTTCGGCCCCACTGCCACCGTCAGCGGCATATGCCCCTGGTTCGTATGCGCAGCACTCGCAGAGCGGGCCATTGTTCCATTCGCCTCCTGCCCAGAGCCAGTACGCACCGTCCTACGTGCAGCCGTCCCCTCCCATGTCATCGTCGTTCGTCAGCGCGAGCAGCACGTACACACAGAACGTGCAGGATGTGCCTGGTGGGTACACGAGCGCTAGACCTTTCGGCGGATATCCACCTCCGTCATCAAATGTTCCATTTACAGGCGGGTACCCGAGCGCTAGACCTACAAGCGGCTATCCGCCGCCAAACATTCCATCACCAACTTTTCCACCTGGAGGTGATTACTCTATACACCGTCCGCATGTAGGTGGATATCCGCAAGTAAGCGGCCCACCTCCAGGTGAATTCCTTGACGAACATCGTGGCACCCACGGTCACGAGTTCCCCGAAGCGCCGGTGTATGGTAGCCGTTATGAGCAACATGAGCAACATGCGTTCGATAACGATGATCGGGACCAACAACAGGCTTCCTTCCCGTCGCCAGGAGGGTACTCCCCGCGAAATGATCCGTATGATAATAGGAGATGGTGAAACACTCGAAGAGGCGAGCAAATGAATACATGTTGAATAATGTATGTTTTTTGTGTCATGTAGCACGGGAAATTTGGTATCATGTCTGAAGCAGCGAACCTTTATTGAATAAGTTAACGATATGTAAAAGTCGCAGTGGCTTCTGAGAGAAAACACGATGAAAGAGCGTGGAGTAGAGATAAATGAGATGAATACAATACTAGACTGTTGGGTGATTGCTAGAGTACAATGCATATGTGATTATGGTGATGCGGCTATAGTAACGAAAATGACTGCAGGAGAAAGGATTGCAAAGACAATTACCATACGAGTTCCGGCGTTGCACTTTCATGATGACAATTCTTCGCGGTCCACGATTGTCATGAGTCCTGATACATTCTGGACTCGGTCTAAGGCAACTGGCCTTTGAGGATCTGGGAGGGACGATCGCGAAGCCGAGGCGTTGTAGCGGACCTAGAGAAATGGGATTTGGGATCTCAGATACTCAAAGCAGACAAAGGACGAACCTGAACTTTGTAAGATCCGTGTCGTCTGTCCCTAGGGACACGAATTGAACACTCCCAACTGATTCAGACCATAGTAAGCAACAGAAGCGCAGCAGAACTCCACGAGCTCCACACACCTTTCGTTTACCAATACATTCGCACCTATGTTCTCTGCTCTCTCCAGCAAGCTTGCTCTCGAACCCCTCAACAACTTTGGAACATCCACTGCATCCCTACAAAAGAACAGGTCGCTCTGCACCAGTGGGACCTTGCGTTTTGACGTAACACCCTCCCCTCGCAGTAAGGGGTGAGTCTGTGGCTCGCCCGAAGTAGAGTCAATGAATTCAGTCTTTGACGTGTTCCGTCGTAGTTTTACGAGTACATTTGTGACGGTAGAAATGGTCAATGGAGCTCTGATGGGGGATGGTGGAGACGACAGCATGTCGGGTATAATATTTGGTATTATCAGCTAGTCGATAAATCGAAGCAAAGTTTTTGTGCTATAAGTATACCCGGCTCTGGCCAGCGTCGGAGTTTACATATGACTCTATTTCCAGCCTATTTCGATTCACTTTCAGTTCTAAACTAGCCCGTACCATGCAAATTTATTGTGTTTCACCCGGAACCGAACAAAGACGTTGACCATCGAGGGCTTCGAGACTTGCAACAACTACAGTGTCAAGGAATAGTTATGACTGGGGTTTTTTTTTTCAATCGGTATCTTCCTCGATCGGGCGGCAATCACTCCTCGTGTCTAGACTGCGACAAGCGTGGCATTTGCATCGTGGCATCAAGCAAAAATATGACAGGCCCAGATCCACAATTGCATGGTCTCAACACACATCGTGTCATCATCTAAACCTTGTAGGTTGAACGTTGATGCATGATGCATTGATGGTTCATCTCTCCTGAACAGCCACCATGATCGAGCTCAGACAAAAATGAAATCTAACATGTCTTTCGACTCTCGATTTATGGAAATGTAGTTCTCATGCGTAAGCGATGTCGCGGCTGCTTGATCACGCACTGCTAGGCTAGAAACTACTGGGAAGCTACCGAGTACCGCTCAAGATGAGGAAAATACGCACTGTGTATAGTGCATCCTCGTGCATCAAAGCATGTCTTACGAGCCGAAGCCGTTCCATTCCTCTGGTTCTTCATGTACTTTTTTGTGCATTGGCTTTCGCTTAGTGGCGGCAACTAAGTCGTCACCGGCCTCCGATTTCCTGAGGCCCAACATGGTTTCATGAACTATACAACGCAGTACGTAAGAATAAGGGGAGAGAGTTTCATATCTAGGACTTACCATCTCCCGATATAATGTCGTCAGCGATCGGTCGGCTTCCAGAGGTGATGTACCTCGTCGAGACACCTCGGCTAAGCAGCGGCTGGGCCATGAGTCCTTTTAATTTGGCTTTCAAAACCGCCATCTTTGCGTCATTGTTCTTTTTTCTGGCCTTTGACGGGTTACTTTCATCTGCGGACTCGCTAGGTCGACCTGTCAGTATCATCATCTTTATTGCGGCAGGGTTATCGTTCACCTCAAAATATCAGAATCAAGCTCTATCTCCATCGCTTCCGCCGTTTCCTTCAGCCAGTTCCGTTCATGATGCTGCTTCTTTATTTTGTGCTGCTGAGAATCAATTTGTCGAGCGAGCAAGAGACGGTTCTTGAGCTTATCAACAAGGGTGAGCTCCACTGATATCTCAGGGATATCTGTATCTTCTAATCGTGCGTGCGTTGAATGTACGACGAGTGAGCAAAAAATACTGTCACTTACTACGACCCAGGCTTGCTAACAGTGCCCTTAACACTCGACGCTCGTCGGGGGCACACATCAACAAACTAAAACCTTTTTGCATCGCACGAGCGGTACGCCCATTGCGGTGAACAAACACATCAGCAGAACGTGGTATCTGATAGTGAACGACATGGTCAACGGCAGGTATGTCAAGACCCCTGGCAGCAATATCCGTGGCCAGAAGGACAGCATTTGCGGTCGCCTTGAACCTGCGGCGTCTGTGTCAGCACGGGTGTACTCAATGTCTACAATGGACATGAAAACTACCGATCAAGGTTTTTGAGGCGCTGGCGTTGTTCCATTTGAGAATGGAGAGGAAAGGCCTTGAGGTTCAGGAGTTCCATCAGTGGAGTGAGACGCCTTATGCCATCAATAGATGATAAGAACACGAGGGAACGGCCAGGGTACCGTAACAGGAAGTAGTACAGGTATGCATCCTGTGGGGTATGAGACGCCATCCATGCACGTATGGTTGCGTACGCACCTTATCTGTGGAAAGGCACTCAATTTTGCTCTCCTTGAGTGTGGAGACAACGCCTCCCTCGGGGCTGATGTCGATTACAGCCGGATCCGGGTCGCGAAAGTCAAGGCGCAGAAGAAGGTCGTCTGTTGGTCGCTTTGTTTAGCAACATTTAAGAGCGTTCGGAAATGAACATACCGAGTGTGCTAGCCAGTTTTGACGACTTTTTATACCCCTTCTGGCGATAACTTCGTTTCAAGTTCTTCTGGAGATCCTTACTGAGAGTAGCGGAGAAGACGAAGGTTTGCAGTGTATCCACAGCCTCAGTGTTCTCTGCACCTTTATGATCCAGAGAATCGCCCGGCGCTTCAGGGGGTTCAATTTCATCTTCTCTGGGCGTGGAACATGTCAACGTCTCAATAACTACAAGAATATCAACGCATACTGGGATTTTCGAATTGTGAGCCGCAAGATGTTGTCCATTTCAGCAAAATGTCCCGCTTCGACCATGCGATCGGCTTCATCCAGCACTAAGAATCTCAGCTGGCTGATTTGTCTTGCTAGTTCCTCATCCTGGATGAAAACGTATTCAACCGGACAAGGTAAAATTGGAACGGAATTTACACAAACCTCCTCTAGAATGTCCCAAAGTCGACCTGGCGTTGCTACCAACACGTCAACACCCCGGTCGAGTATACGCCGCTGTTTTTGCGCAGACATTCCACCTACTATGGCAGCGATGCTGACGAGTGGCGGAGCAATATTTTTGTGCTGCTTTTCCTTAGCCTCGGTGTTTCTGAGATCGACGTCTTGTTCGGCCTTCGTGTCAATGACCCGTGCAAACACATTGAGGTGATCAGAGACTTGTAGGGCAAGTTCACGGGTGGGAGCTAAGATAAGCGCCTGGAGTCTCCGCTTAGTTCTTTGCAGCCGGGGATGTGATAAGATACGGTGGAGAATGGGAAGCCCATACGCAAGTGTCTTTCCAGATCCCTGGAAAATGTACCATGAGGGAAGCGAGGAAAATAATAAAAATTAAACGAACGGTTTCTGCTACTCCAACGACGTCCCGCCCATCCAAGGCTATCGGTAGTGACTTGGCTTGTATTGGAGTGGGTGTAGCAAACCCTCGTGAATGAAGCACCTGCAAAAGATGGGAATGCATACAAAAAGCATGCCAATTGGGCAGCAAAGACTTGGCTGAAGGGAACTAAAGGGTCAGAAAATCAGGAAGGTCACTGGTATGAGAGATAACGCACAGTCAAACAACACCGAAGGATTTAGTAATTCCGAGCTGGCAGGAGATGGCACGTCTTCCTCAGACCCAGGGGATACAGTAGCCTTTGTTGTATTTTTCGATGGTTCAAGGACCTAGAATAGCGCTAATTAATGTCCATCTGATGTCATGCGTCCTGCCGCTCACATTGAACTTCATAACTCTCCCTCCTTCTGTATCCTCGTACACCACTTCAACATTTTCCACTTCTTCTAGTTCCAGTATACCATCGTCACCGTCAAGGCCCGTCTCACTGGGTCGACGTACGGCTCTCCAAGGTAGTCCATCCAAAGACGTGGGCTGCATTTTGAGTCGTTTTCTGGATACTGAAGGGCCTGCATTGGCCTTCCGTTTTACAAAGGAAGGCTTTGATTTGGGGTCTCCAGACATCTGACTGCTTGCACGTATCACGCGTACGCGGCGTATGTTCTGCTCAAAAATTGCTCAAAAATATCCAAACTATGGTGGGATGGTTGTTTGGCAAAAGCTTTCGAAACAAACAACCGCTTTCAGTCAACTTGTAACCTAATCAGTTTATCATTGTGGGTCCATTGCCTCTTTACCAAAAGCTTTCGAAACACACTTCTGAGGTGCACGGTATGTATGACGACTATTAGACTTCGCACATATCTCAAACGCATTTGCAGTTAGTCTAATCTACAAACGAGTCGACAGGACAGTCAGAGCTTATTATTGTTACTCGCTTCCTCGTATTGGGTGTGTGGCGTATGTGCTGCGTTTTCGCTGCCGAAGCCGACCGTTTACCTCTGACATAGCACATCTATCGGTGGGATGGTCACGCTGCGTGATTTGCCTGTAGAACTGTGGCGTCCGATACTAGCGTCGCTTGTCCGATCACCTGGGGTTCTCTCGTCCGACCGACAAGATCCATTCTCGGAAGTTCGCGACATCGTCATATTCTTGAACCGAGACGTGAAGACTCATTCGGCACTCCTCTTGGTCTGCAAAGTGTGGCATAACGTTGTCATCGAGCTTATCCATGAGCACCTCCACTTGACGTCGGCAGAGCAAGTAGCTATCATTGCCAACCGCTTCGAAGAAAGTCGCAGGCATTCAATAAAGCACCCTCTTGGGACGTGCACTCGACGGATCGACTTTCAACTGTCGAACCCGTCTGATCAGTGCTTGAACGCACTTGTGCGAATCCTGCGGTGTACGCCAAACATCGAAATTCTAGTCAATAGCAACTACTACATGGCGTTGAATCCAACTTTCCATATCACACCACCTCAGGCTCAGACGCGAACGGAAATCATAAATGCCCTCCTTGAAACATGCTCAAGCTCACTACGACGAATAGAGTGGACGTCCAACGAATATCCCTCTTGGAGTGACCTGATGCACGTGCTTCAAACGGCCACTGGCATAACAAGCCTGACGCTCGCGAATATATATGGCAACCTCACGGAAAGACCATCGCATTACCTTACTTTACCCAACTTGAAAACGCTTGTTCTCGGAGATAGTCCTTCGTTCTCGCACGCGTCGCTGGGCAATGTTCCCCTGAATGCCTTTCTTACGATGCTCGCCAAGTCCCCGGAGCAACTTCCGTCCCTGCAAAGGCTGGAGGGGTTTTCCCCCTTCAGTCCAGACTTCCTGCGAACCCACGGGCCAAAAGTGCGCATTGTCCGCACCGTCGCATTCACGCCGTTGTTAAATGAAATTATCGCAACTTGTCCGAACTTGGACACTTTTGTCACTATCTTTCCTCATCACATTTTGGATCTACTATCGCATCCTTCGCTGAAGCGGATTGGCATTTTCCCCATCAGTGAGGATCCTGTTGGCGTCCCTCAAGCTATTTTCAGCGCGTATATCATGAAGCCGCTCGAAGATCTCTTGTGTCAGATTGACGAGTCCCAACTTCCGAAACTGACCCAGGTCCGGATTCGCAATATTGGAACATTAGCAAATATTACGGAACACCCCTTGTTTCTTCAGAGGTGGTGGAAGCGTTGGGATTCAAGGGGTGTACGTTTCGACGATAAGGATGGACGACCGTTCAATCTGGTGTCGTCAGGTACAGAATTACACATCCAGTCATCGCGTCACGCTCAAAATACCTACAGAGAGCGACAGTGTGCACGATAACGTGCGTCGGCCATGATGTGTATCCTAATCTGGAGCCTCGAAGTACTTTTGAACCTACTCTCCCGCATTGCTTGGTATATATCTTTCATTCACATGATACCACAATCTTGATATCTTGGTTTGGTATGCTTCTAACTTGATGATCTTCATATAGAACATACAATTTTAGGGTATAAATAATATGTTGTTTTACTCTTGTTCGACACCAGGATATAGAGGAATGAGCGTGTGGCTAGTTGGCAGTAGTTGCGAAAAGCGTCCATCAATGTCCAAGAATATAAAGCAATGTGAGACGATAGGTGAGTCCAGAAACTGGAGTGCCAGACTACTACGAGTGTTTCCCGTCATGAAAAGAATGTGGGGGGCTGACCAGCTGCGACAGTGGATACTTTGAATGTCCAAAAAAAGAATCTAAAGGAATGTGAAGAGACAGCTCCCGAGTGTCCAATCTATGAGTGTTTTCGGTCTTCCTCCAAGAGAGTGTGGGGAGCTGACCGGCTGCGACAGTGGATACTCAGTGATAAGTTAGCAATCAGCTGTATGCGACGCTTACCAGCAGCGCTGAAACATTGCATCGAGAATCATTTGCCTCGAGGAAAGAGATTGACGACTCTGGTCCGTTTAACTTCACGACCAGAGTTCTGAAAGTACCGGGTAGTGTCAAACGACCAATGCAAACTTCCGACAATCCAATCTGCAAGACCGCCGACGTAGATTGCAACGTCCTTGTCGATTTTGGAACCCCAGGAAGGGATGAGCCCGCGATTTTCGTTGAAGCGGTCGATAGACTGCTTGCAGAGCTTGCCGACGAAGTCGACGGCACACTGGATGTCGAGGCATTCCTGGTGCATGACAACAGATATCATGTTGTGGGTGTCTCCTTTTGATTGTTCTACATTATAGGAGAAGATGTCCTAAACTGGGAGTTAGCCCGAGAAAAGCAATAGACTGAAGTGCGTGCATTTGACCACGTGACTAAGTCGTTGGCGGCCTCGCCGAGACTCTGGATGATCGGATGCTCCATGACTTCGTCAGGTATATCGAGATTGTTAGCGTATTCGATAAGTGCCCAGCAGGGTTTGCATCCACTGGTATCGCGACGCAAGGAGATATAGGACTCGAGATCAGGAACGACGCCCTTAGCACGGTCGATGGCTTGCACGTGCACAGCTTGGAAGAAGAAATCCATTGTCTCTATAAAGCGTCTGCTCGTTCCACGGGATGCGGTGGGAAGCATGCGCTTGTAGAAGCTGTAGTACACTCAATTAGCCTGTTCGTGATTACGAAACGAATACATACTCCTTAGTCATTCTATTCAATCGGGCAGGCGAGTAGTAGTCGTACGGGTGATGAAGCGAGTTTAGCACAACATTTGCAATGTTTTTGGTTCCAGCCTTGTCCATGTCGTCTGAGAGGTTGTCGAGGTGAAAAAGATAGTTCATGAAATCGCAGCAGACGCGAAGCTGAGGGAATCCTGCGTCTGGGTAGCACATAGATGTGAGCTGACCGGCCTTGAGCCCGTGAATCGCCTTGCGCGACTTCTGGGTGAGGTTGTCTCCACGGAAAAGCCACCGTTTTGATTCAGCAGTAGCCTGTTTGTGATGGCGATTCATGCGTAGCTTGAAATCGCAGTGGGAGACGAGGTCAGGGAGGATGAACTTGGTGGGGAGAGCTGTGGTGAACGACATCTTGGGGAAATGAAGGAGAGGGTTCTAAGACAAACAAAAGCTAAAAGACAGACGAGAACGTTCTATAAGGGCAAGACCAAGAGGAACGGGAGTGAGTTGAGGTCCGTGGTAGGCTGTGCGTTTTGATGCTTAGCAGGAACCCAGTTGGATTTGAGACCGGACGCGCGGATTGAATGAAATAAGCTTTTGACTACGAGTTTTAAAACACCACCCTTGACCAAGCACAAAACGAGCATCGTAGTGTCGTGTCCCGTACATAATCGCGGCGGTCACACTGTTACATAGGGGGAAGAGAAATGACGCTGAGCGTGCCGTGCGACTGTGAATCGAGAACGTTGACAAAACTTCACGTCAGGGCCGGCATCGCAACACTAATATCGACGCCATAGAGGGCTTAAAGCGCCCAAGTATAGAAAGTTTTGTAGCCTCCGCTCCCAGTCAGATGATGACGCAAGCTGTGGACTGTTGGAAACCCCAAGTTTATGATGAGCAAGAGGCTAGGCCCTGTTCAGTAGAAGGAAATAGGGTAGATGAATGTCATATAGTCCATTATGAAACACAACTTATCTAGTTTATCATTTGCATTTCTCGTTTCAATGAATGCGGAGAGAAAACGTAGCGACTCACCAACTTGAACTTGAAGTCGCTCGAAGACCACGGAACGCCGCGCCCGACATAGGACGTGGCATATACTCCATCCGCACGGGGTGGAGCAGGAAACAACTCGGATGCACTGGGATAGCTGTCAGATTGTACCGGGTATGAGTTGCACCGTAACTGTATGGAGGCTACTTCTTCGAAATCTATATCGAGAGAGTAAAGGCAATGCACACGTACGGTCCGTACAGACGAATGACACCCGATTATGGATACACACAAGTCAACTGCAGGCCAACAAGTCTTACAAAGTACATACCAGCATCGCTGCTCCCGATGAATGAAGAAACCGGGCCGTGACAGAAGTAGATGATGATGATACTAGTAACAATAGCTGCAAGCATAATTTCAAACGCTGGGAAGAGTGTTTTTCGCCAGTCGATAGCACTCGCCGTCAGGTTACGTTAATCAACTTTTGCAGATGACTCAAAGTAAATAGCAGTTCCTGGAACTTCGAAGAGCAGAATTTGCGAGCGGACACTGTGTGGCGCACACAGCAAAGTACCTTCCTTTTTTGGAAAATCATTACGTTCTATTGCGACTTGGACGAGTCTTGGACAGAGACACTCAAAGACATATATATTCATCATGACCACCCGGATTTCCTTCCAACCGCCAAACATCGGCAGCTCACGATCTTTAAACGCGCCCCCAAGAAGGTTTTTTGGCATGCGGAATGACACTGAACAGGATGACGACCCTTCTGGGCCAGAGCGCAGCACAAGACGAGCGTCAGGCGGTCAGATCCATCGAAAGCAGAGTTTTGTCTCGCGTTGGAGGACAAATACAGACGTGGAGAGTGCCATCAAGTCTCCAATGCTTGAAAGACCTCCAATACCCAACGCTCTTCGCGGTAGCGAATCCGACTCGACTCCGTTACCTGCATTATCTATGATTGTGCTGTCCATCGTAAGTATCTGCATGCACCTTCGTGATATAACTGATCAAGCGCCAAGACCATGCTTGGAGAGTTTCTCTCTGCCAACGTCGCCATGCCGTTTCTCCTTTTCATGGTTAAAGGTGCGTCATAATGTATGACATCGTTGCCGTCCCACTAACGAACTCGAATTCAGGATTTGGAGAGTTCAACGACGAAGCACAGATCGCCTTTTGGACTGGCATACTTGGTATTCTTGCTAAGCATCTATAGTATTGGACTGTCTTTAATGCTACCCTAGTGTCCGCGTTCTTCTTAACGCAATTCCTGACCTCACTATTATGGGTATGTCCATTTTCCTTCTTCCGCACTAACGTCATAATTTGTTTGACTCTAATTCGGAGTAATAGGCAACCGCAGCAGATAGACATGGTCGTAGATTGGTGCTGACATTGTCCTTGCTTGGAAGTGCAGTGACGGTGTTGCTTTTTGGGACTTGCACATCTCTGCGGCAAGCGATCGCGGTGAGACTGTTACAGGGAATCTTTGCTGGCGCTGTCGGAGTGGCACGCGGATGCGTTGCTACGGTGACGGACACGACGAACGAGGGGAGGGCATACGCTATCATGGGGCGAGTACCAATCATCTAGTTGAGATCCTGGTACTGATATCATGACCAGCTTTTGTTGGGGACTTGGTGGTGTGGCGGGCGCCATCATTGGAGGATCATGTGAGTGTCTTCTGCAAAGGCATACTAGTCTCACTGACGATCGATTAGTTGAGAAGCCTGCAGACAAGTGGCCAAGTGTGTTTGGCCAAGTACCGCTACTGGTGGAGTACCCGTACCTACTCCCGTGCGCAGTGGCTGCCAGCATCACATTGACAGGTGCGTTTTCAGAAAGATAATATGACGCAATCACTCACCTATTCAACAGGGTCGTTCCTGTCCCTATTTTTGGGCCGTGACGGCGGACCGCGGGATGGCGCAATCCGGCTACCGCTAGAAAAACCTGAAGATCGACACCCGACCATTCAAGAGGAGGAAGATATCACCACACCCAGCACCCTTGACGATACTCCACAGTCTGGGTTGGTGCGCTCTATTACACGGAAAGTATCCGGTCAACTGTCTGGTTATTTCGGATCTCGAGATTCAATCACCGCACAAGAAACGCCGTCGCTGCCAGTGCCATTGACGACATCTATATCGCTGCCAATGGACAGCCCACGCAACTTCTCGAGGATCACCCGTGCCAATGGATCCGCGTATGGTTATGGGGGAGGTAATAGGGCCACAAGCACGGTCAGTACGACCACGCTTGGTGTGAGGCGTGTGAGCACTGCCAGCACTATAAGAAGGAGGCACGGAAGTGCATTCGAGGGACCGACGTCATTCACGGATCCCGGCGACCTCAACTTTGCTCAGAGACTATTAATGGCAAACGAGAACGCGGTCACAAATATTGCTGATCTTTGGGTGGCAGCGGCAATGAATGTGGATAATGACGAAACGTTTGAACCTGAACAAGATTTAGATATGAACGTCGACTCGGAGTATTTTGGACATGAAGACGTTCCAGGTTCTATCACATCATCTCCTATACACCGAGGGCGTTCTATTGGCCGCAACCACGCAAGCGCGATCGGCAGTCCCGGCCAACGCTCATCTGTGATGACATTTGGGCAATCTTCACGCATGCACTCAGCAATGATGGGTTCTCCCGCACCGGATGGGGTACCGTTCGCATTGCGTTCCCCGTCGATATTCTCGCACCCTGGAGTGCGTACGCCATCTATCGTCCTCGATGCCCAGGCCCGTGCTCAGGAGCCCGCTGGTGACAATCCACTACTACCAATTCTGGAACACATGCAATCTGTCACAGAGTCAGAGATTCCTCAAGGGAAGCCTCCATCCTTGACCTCGCAGCTGCCTCTGGTTGTCATACTCCAGTACGGTTTGCTAGCACTTCACAGCACGACACACGATCAGGTGTTCTTGTCGTACCTTGTTACGTACGTAGTCTGGGTAATACTGCACGCATCTTACTGACCTCTAATCAGCGACTACGAGTCGGGAGGTCTGAACCTCAATCCTGGGCATTTCTCTCAGCTTAGTATGGGTTGAGTTACTGGATACAAGGGATTTACTGATAGTATCCTGCAGTTGCTCTCATGTGCCTCGCACAGATTGTATACCAGTTTTATCTCTATCCGTATGGCTACTTTATCTTTTGGTTGTCGCTCTACTGACTTCTTACTCTCAGAAACATTGGGCAAGTCCTTTCTGGCTCTTTGTACAACAACCCCTGATGGCACTTGCTCGTAGACCCCCTCGAGGGCGCTTCTCCCACCTTGCAATGTTTCGTCTCGGGTCCCTGCTATTTATACCTGCATACCTTACTGTCACTATGTATCGGGGTCTCGCAAGTTCTAATGACCAAGGAAGTTTCGTTCTTATGGCAGGTATGATGCGATTTCTTTATCCCTCCTGTTCCATAGTTAATTCATTTATGTCAGCTCTGGCTCTGAGCACGTGAGTGACGTCTGGACAGTTCACCTGAGCATTGCTGACACACATGCAGAGCTATACGTTATTGCGGAAACACGTTTGGTTACACCGCCATATCCATCCTCCTTAATTATAGTGCGTTTATTGAGCTTGTGCGAGGATGAGGTTTCCATTGACGGTGTCTATAGTGACACCCCCACATGCCGTTGGTTTTGCCAACGGTGTCGCACAAAGTATAGTCAGTCTCGCACGTTGTTTTGGACCTGTTCTTGGCGGATACGTGAGTACTAGCTCTGCGTTCCAGTGGTACAATGTCATACTTACACGCAATATAGCTTTGGTCGGCTGGCATCAGAGACGATCCGTCAGGCTATCCTCTCGGATTCGTTGTATGTTCGGTCGTATGTGCGCTCGCCGTTGCACACAGCTTTTTCATTCGTTGATTAGCCGCCGCCGATCTTGCTGTCTTGAAACGCCCGCAAGATAGTGTACACATTATATTGTTTGTATGCATATGATCATCCACAGCAATCACTTTAACGGAGATGTGTGGCTTGGTGAGCGTATTCATGAGCAAACGGTTGAACTATACAGTACTCCCCCCGATCGACTTACTTATTCCTGGCATGTCCTGTGTGGCAGTAGAAATTAACACATTCACCTTCCAGGGACAACTTTCGCCGAGAACAATGCCCAGTCACATCACGGTTAGGAATTTGAGCATGGGAATTACATGGGTCGAAAGCCTCGTACGTTTTATATATTTACGATAGCTTCGATGCCATGACTCGGAAGATATTGTCCCTGTTGACCGTGGTGAGTAAACTTGAACTTGCAGCCTGAGCACAAGACACATACGCCGATGCGATGCGATCAAGATTGTTTTCTTTGACTGCCCTATCGACTTCATGGCTATATAAGTCAAGAAAATTACTGTCGGGCTTGAAACATGTCGAGTCCACCGTGGGAAACATCCCCAAGTTATAATAAACTCCCTGCAGATCAATTTCTCAGTTTTAACTTTTGAGCTATCATGATATTTAACTGGGCGCCGTGTGGTAAACTCACGCATTCTTTTTACTCCCACATTTTGATACTTGGTGATTGCGCTCACTATAATTGCCGGACGTCTTGATATCTACAACTGCGCACCATATCCGCTGTCCATGGAAATACTATCAAGTACTTTGCTCTATAGCTCTCAAATTTGTTTAGCCCTTAAATTGCTCCTGTTCAAGGCATTTCTCCAGACTTGCTGCGATACAATTTGCAGTGTGAGAAGCGGATATGTATCATTGGAGCGGGAGGTCTTGCTGCTCTGAAAGTCATATCAGAGTCCACTTACTTCAAGTCAGGGAAATGGTCGGTGTGACGCCCACATCAGGACTTGACTCTATCGGGCCTTCGGACTTGGTCAAGGGCCTGGACGGGTCTGTCCCTCGTTATCTGAAACCAAGTATCTATCACATGCCTGTTACGAATAATCACAAGCTCCTACTTACAGATAGTATAAAGGGTCGTCGTATAGCTATCTGTAACGTTGGCGTTCTTGAATTGACTTGACTTGTATCTGGTTATTCTTGCGCGTCTTAGTAATCTCGCTGTGCCATATTCGAAAGCATTTGCTTCTCGTATCTGTCACATATTTTTTAACCTTCAACAAGCTTAACTCTCTCGTCTTGCCCTTCACTCGGAACACCGGTCTGATCCACCAGTTGTTCTACGTCTAGGCAACATCTATCCATTCCAACATGGCTTTAACTACCACTACTACCGAATCTCGTATACCCCGGTACCAGCTGCGCGATACACGTGCCTGCAAAGCTACTACCGAGAAGACCATCAAGACAACTAACACAGAGGCTGGGCCTCTTCGTACTAACAGTGAGTCCGCTCTCTCCTCGCTCGTCTCGTCTCCGGGAGATCCACGGCCTCGGTCCATATCTCCTGCGTATTCCGCCGGACAGCACGGACGCTCGTATAGCGACGTGCTTATGGCGCGTAATCCCCCGATGCCAGGTGCGCTCGGGGAGACACCTGCTCGTCTCCAAAGTGAGACGGTGGAGAGCGAAAGAGAGAAACCGGGGGGAAAGACCCTAGTAGACAATACTACCTCTGTTAGTAGAAATAGTGAGGAAACAGAAAAGAATACTCACTTAGAAACTCCAGCTAATGAGAGGAGTTGGTCACCAGAAAGACCCACGGACACTGGCGACGGCCAGAGTGGGGAATGGACCACTATTGAACGAAGGCGCGCTGCAGGCGCCAGAGGTGTGACCCAGAAGAAGGGTGAGCATCAGAATCTGACCCGGGAACAAGAAAACCTGGTAAGAGAAGCCGAAAATAAGTTGACCCCGGCTGAGAAAGAAAGAGTTCGGACTAGATGGAACATACCTAGTCGTCCGTCATCCGACGGCAGTGAGTCGGAGGAGTCCCAAGTAGCTGGACCCTCCAAGGACAAAGGAAAGGTCCCGGACCCCAGGAATTGGGGCAACGCCAACCTCGATGAGGAAGATATTGACCTGGAGGCCCAACATGCTGCACTGGCGTCGTACCGAGCAGCACGAGGAGGAGGGCCGGACGTCAGGGCACAGGAAGAGGCGCTGCGCACATATAAGGCGGCGCAAGAATGGGCCCAGAGCTCTGACGAAGGGTCAGCGCCAAGAGACGCTGATAGCTGGGCTCAACGGAAGGTCCCGGGAGATGACTTGATCACCAGGACCGAGGCAGAGGCCGCGGTGCGAGCTGCGGAAAAGGTGATAGAGAAACGATACGAAGAATATCTTCGAGAGAGGTACAAGATCAGATCTCGTCCGCTTCGAACCACGGCAAGCGATAGAGAAACGTTAGATCTAACTCCAAGGACGAAAAGAGGAAAGAGACGTACCAGGATCGGAGATAGAGATCCTGTTGGTGCACTAGTCGATCACGCACTGGAAAGGTCTTCGGACCCTAGAGAGCGGCGTGTGACGCCTAAGGCGATGGACCCCGCTGTCACAACCCAATAACGAATTAACGCTGGGCAGAGACTAGGACTCAAACAACAAGATAATCACAAAGAGAATAAGGCAGCAGGTACGTCTCGGATTGCTCACTAGGAGATACAAGAGGTTTGAACTAAAGAACTACTGACTACAAGACACTACCTATATACACATATTTGTAACTGAGATCGAAACTGAGTCTGAACTAACTACCAATCAAATAATAAGATGATATCGTACGATTCTATATATAACTATGATGTCATGACACGTGCCGCAGCAACCGTAAGGTTCTGGAACATTCTGTCAGGGTCGTTTGGAATAAAGTTTAGTCCGGCATACTCCGATAAATCACGTGACTCGTTCATAGGTTCTTTAGGTAACTCTACAATAGACACCGTTGTTGGGACATCTTCAACTATAAATACTTTCTTAGTAACAGGCGCTGTGACTGGGCGCTTAAAGGACTTAGAATTTAGGAACGTATAATGGTTTGTATTTGGAACTCGTGACACCCGCGCGACAAGTGGCACCCAAAAGCTACATAGGACAAGCGTTAGGCCGCTTGGAAAAGCAGCGCGACAAAAGCGAAAGACGCACCCGAAGACGAGGAGACAGTGAGCACAGTGACGAGTCCAGCGACTTCAGCTCATCAGACTTGGAAGGCTCTTCCAGCTCGTCGTCATCGTCCAGCTCAGTCGAATAACTCGCGACGTCGACGAGCAAAGAGACGACGCGATCGTGCTAAAAAGAAAAGCACGTTAAAACCTATCCCACCCGTGAATTACGACGGCTCACCTGATTCGAGGGCGTTTCACCAGTTTCTGACTGAGGGGACGGCCTATGTCAAAGATGGCCATGTCGAACGAAAGAGGTGAGTTTACATCCTCGCGCATCATCTAAAGGGGAGAGCGCGTGAGTTCTACATAAGAGAGGTTTCTGGGGACCCTTACCGATGGAGACTCCGGGAGTTCTTCACGGAATTGTTTAACTATTGTTTCCCTGTCAATTTTAGAATGGAACAGAGAGCGAAGTTGAACAAATGTTACCAAAATACTAAGTCCGTCCGTGAATACGTATACGAACTCAGCGAACTCTGGAACATGATCGGGGATGTCGAAGACCGACAGAAGGTCTCTCAATTTTGGACTGGGCTAAACCCCAGCATCCAAGCAGAACTCTGGAAAAAGGAATTGAACCCGGAGTCATCGTCTTTTAGAGAGGTCAGAAATGCCGCCGAGATAATAGAAATAGCTCACTCAGTGCCCACACACCGGCGAGATAAGGAGAAACCTTCCCCGAGTTCCGGAGGAACGAATGGGGGAGGCATTAACACCAACCGCCGGGAAGACGGGCGGCAGCGAAACAGGGACAAAAGAAGCCGAAGGGGCGATGGTGGTCCACGGAGACAGCACGACGACAGAAATCGTGCTGCAGCTGTTGAAAACAGACAGGATAAAAGTCAGAGGAGGGATAATGGACAAGGAAAGAACTCACACCTTGCTAGAAAGCCTGATCGTTTGAGTCAGGCTGAGAAGGAGAGACACGCGGCAGAAGGACTCTGCTACGTGTGTCACCAGCCTGGGCACATATCCAGGAATTGCCCGGACAGGACCACTGTCAAAAGAGTTGGGGCTGGAATGGCACCCCCTGGAGTACAAAACTTCAGCATAGAGGTGGACCTTAGCGAGGCGGACCGAATGACCCACCAGAACGAGAACATGACCTCCAATGGGGCTACGGATGTGTCGTGCGCCGCGATGAGCGTCTGGCGCGACGACTTCGACGACGGGGACGAGGTAGACTGGGTCAGCAACTCGGACGACCCGGCAATACCTTTACCTCGCGGACACCAGCCCACCATTTTGCATGATGGACCCGCTGGGAGGGAAGATTGGGCCTCCAGAGGCACAAAGATCGACGCCATGGGCGAACCTTTGGCCATGCGAGCCAAGTACGTGCTGGACGGGGGTTTCTACCTCTGGGATTGAGAGCCATGGCTGCCCATCAGCTCAGAGAGGTTCTTCGTTTACAGCGTGTCTGAACGGGAGCACGTCATCATGGATAGAGAGGATAGGAGGGAGAATGAAGTGACTGTACTCACCTCCCATTTACTGAACCCGAAGTTCAATCTGGCCGAATGGTATTCACAAAAGGTTAGCGAGCTCCAGGGACTAGACCCCCAGAAAGTGAGAAAATGGAGGCGGAAGGAACTGGGCAAAAAAATGCCCATGGAGACGCCGTTAGCTGCTCGGGTAGAGCAGCTATTGGTACGATGGGGCCGTTACGATAACGACCCCGTGCGCAACGCGCTGCACCCCCAACGATTCGAGTGCGTTAGAATGAGAGACGGGACGTACCGGATAAAGGACTATGTCCGATCGTTCGTGGTAGAGGTGCCGCTGCGCCTCTTGTTAAATCCTAAGTTCGTGTTAGCGTCCTGGTACAATAAGAGGTTAAGGGAGGCTCACGATGAACTTTGTGATAGCCTACTGCAGAAATCTCAAGAGCTCAACATGCTCCAGTTGTTGGACCAGGGGCCGCTGACCGAAAATGAATGTCAGCTGGACGATGTGGCAAGGAGGATATACACTCTCACCCCGGACGCCAAGTTCCTATACAATGAGTCGTACCTATTTGTGTTAGAGCTAAACGGACAGCAAATACCAGCTGGGACTTACCCGGCGTTACAGCGAGGGGCTGCAGTGACCAAAGACTTCAAGCGAATGATTCCAAAGCCGGTCGTCGTCGTCGTCAACATCAACAGATGACCGGCTCGTGCGCTAATTGATTCTGGGTCCCTATCAGATTTCATGTCAGTGACTCTGGCAGAACAATTGAAAGTACCAAAGGTAGAACTTACCAAGCCGTTGGTGGTGCAGCTTGCGGTCCAGGGATCCCGGTCTAAGGTCAACTACGGCACGAGAGTGAACATGAGGTATCAGAACATTAGCGAACAACGCTACTTTGACGTAATTAACTTACAGAATTACAATCTGGTACTAGGAACCCCATTCCTGTTTCAGCACAAGGTCATGGTGGGGTTAAACCCACCACGAGTGACCATAGGGAGCGCATCACCGTTGCCTATGAAGGGCATTGAGGTGACTACGTTGGAATTGCGTGCAGCCGCCGTGGAGGCAGAGGACCTAGAGAAAATGCGCGAATATTTGCGACAGTTAGCAAAACCATTGTGCGCAAAGGCAAGCGAAACAGGCTTACCTCCATTGAGGTCTATCAACCACACTATCCCGTTAATAGACGAGAATAAGATCTACCCGTGGCGACCTTCCAGGTGCCCGGAGCCGCTGAGGCCACAGTGGGCAGAGAAACGGCAATCCTACCTAGCCAGTGGACGATGGCAGGTAACCAGTGCCGGGAACACGGTGCCCATGCTATTCATACGAAAGCCAGGGTCAGATCGTTTGAGGACGGTCGTCGATCTAAGAGAGAGAAATAAAAACACTCACAAACTGACGTCACCATTGCCGGATATGGAGGGAATCTTGCGCCGGGTCGCGCGTAAACCTTATCGGTCCCTAATGGATGGTCAGGATGCGTACGAACAGATCCGCGTGATACTGGAACACGTACCTAGGACGGCGATGACGACGCCGGACGGCAACATGGTGAGCCAGGTGTTGCAGCAAGGCGACTGCAACGCGCCGGCTACGTATCAGGCTGTAATGAATCAGTTGTTTGGGGCATACATCGGCAAATGGATGGACGTTTACCTGGATGATATAATACTCTACTCTGACACGCTGTCTGATCACATAGACCACATTAAGATCGTTTTGAACATATTGGAACGTGAGAAACTTTACCTTAGTGAAAAGAAACTGAAGTTCCTGTGTGACGAGGTGAAGATCCTTGGCCGGGTGGTCGACAGCGATGGGATCCGTATGGACCCGGAGAAGGTCGACCGAGTCCTCAACTGGAAGACCCCCACAAACCGGGACCAGTGCCGAGGATTCATCGGCTCCGTGGGGTACCTAGCGGACGACATTTATAAGGTCAGGATCCCGTTGGGAGTCTTGTCTGAAGTAACGGGAGATACAGTACCTTTTCGGTGGGACTTCGCGCAACAGCGCGCATTTGAGGAAGTCAAGCTGTATGTGGCCGCATGTGCGCCACACTGCCGTGTTCCGCTGGACTATGCCAAGAGCGCGCCTCCCATCTACGTCATGACAGACGCTAGCCTGGGAGGTATAGGCGGGGTTGTGTGCCAAGGGGAGGACTGGAAACGCGCAAAGGTTGCAGCGTTCTTTTCCGCGAAGCTGAATCCCGCACAGCGCAACTACGCTGTGCACGAGCAAGAAATGTTAGCCGGAGTAGAGACCATGCTGAGGCATAGGGACATACTGCAGGGAGCCAAGTTCACTTGGCTGACGGACCATAAGGGTTTGATTCATCTGTTGAATCAGAAGAACGTTAGTGGACGGCAAGCGCGATGGCTTGAGAAGATAGGTGAATTTGACTTCGACGTTAAGTACATACCGGGTGAGGAAAACCTCCTGCCCGACGCCCTATCACGTATGTACTCCTTTGATGGACCCAGAGCCGCGCCCAGCAAGTATACAGAACATGATGGGGACCAGGAGGGTGACGGGGGCACGACACGCCTAGCGTCGATACCCATGGTGGCGGGCAAACCGAGAATGGAGCCTTCTTTGAGGCGTAGCTCACGGGTTGCTGCAAAACCGGTGGTGGTGCCAGCCTGGCTGCCTAAAGGTCGCCGGGTCAGGCAACAATCAGTATTGTGCGAATCTACGGGGACAGCACCGGACGCACCTGACCGATCAGTATTGTGCGAATCTACCGAACCAGCACAGGGTACCTCTGCACCTTCAGTACCGTGCGAGTCTACCGCCCCACGGCCACTATGTGAGCGAAGGGCACGACGGGTGGAGGTCCCTGCGGAGAGTGGACGCCCTGAGACGTCCAAGGAGTTTGCCAGGAGGCTGCGGGATCGTTTCGTTCTGCTCGGGCCTGGTGAACGAAAGAAGGGCGGGGAGGAAGGTGACGCTCACCTCCCTGCAGAGCAGACACAGACGCAGCAGCCAGAATCGGACCACGGCGAGGAACGGTTCACCCCAATGGCGCAGCTGCCACGAAGGGAACTGGAGGATGAGACTCTAGCGGAAATCAGAGGTCAATATTACAAAGACCCATTCTTTCAGAAAGTAATGAACTCACCTAAACAATTCCGCAACTTTGAGGTTGCGGAAGGACTCATCCATATTCGACTGAACGATAGGACGCTGATGTGTATACCGGACGTAAAGGTCGACGGTAGAAGGCTGCAGGAGAACCTAATCAGTCAAGCGCACACTCTGTTGGCCCACCTGGGCGCACAAAAGACACTCACATACTTAAGAGACCGTGTCTGGTGGAAAACGATCGTGCGAGACGTGCACGCGTTCTGCGAATCCTGTGCGACATGCCAAACGAGTAAGTCCAGCAACCAGCGGCCATATGGGCTGCTGAGACCCTTACCTGTACCCTCCCAACCCTGGGAGGCAATGGGCATTGATTTCCTGGGGCCGCTACCCTTGTCAAAGGACAGGGACGGCGAATACGATTCGATAACTGTCATTATCGACCTCTTTAGTGGCATGGCTCATCTAGTACCTAGTAGAACCACTTACATGGCTAAAGAAGTGGCCGAGTTAGTCTTCACCGAGGTGTATAAACACCACGGCGTACCGAAGTACATAGTCAGCGATAGGGACGTGCTTTTCACAAGCGCATTCTGGACCAATTTCAATAAGTTAATCGGCGCCAAGCTGAAAATGTCGAGTGCTTACCACCTGGAGACAGACGGATCCACTGAACGCGCCAATAGGACCGTGGTCCAAATGTTGAGGGCGTGTATAGCCCCGAATCAGCGAGACTGGGTGCCTAGACTGCCGGCGATTGAATTCGCTATCAATATCGCGAGCTCAGAATCAACGAAACACTCACCGTTTGAGACAAACACTGGAAGAACACCTAGGGCAATGGTGTGGGACGACCCATCGGAATCTGAGTATCCGGGAGTAAGAACCTACCTGCAAAAGATTAAGCGCACCATTATGGAAGCTCACGATAGCATCATTAGCGCAAGAGTAAAGCAAACGGTGGATGCCAATAAGAAACGGCGCCCAAGCCCGTTTGCACATGGGGACTTGGTGTACATATCCACCAAGAACTTAAACTTTCCTAAGGGGTTAGCACGCAAGCTGCTACCAAAGTACGTCGGACCTTACCGAATAATCGAGGACTTCGGGAACAATTCCTATCGTATTGAGCTACCTGCCAGGTTGAAGCAGAGGGGAATACATAACGTGTTCCACGCGTCTTACCTAAGGTTGCACGTACCGAACGATGATCGAACATCTGCAAAACGACTGAAATGAACGCTTAACTTACGCGCGTTACGGACACTTACGAACGCTTACGACTTCAGTAGCGCACTCAGGCGATTGGTGGAGATGCTTTTGCTGTTATTATTTTATTTCGCCGGTTGAACTTACGAGAGATGGAGAACCGAACGTTTTGATCAATGATAATCTGTCGCATCTCACTGAAGATAAAAGATGGGCTTGATTTAATCTGAGATCAAATAGATAAAAAACAGACAACACGACGCAGTGAAATTGCATGATCAGAACATAACAAAGAATGTGACTAAATGTAACTAGTGCAAATCTGAGCGCAATGAGTGATACACCTCCTTGTCCGAGAAATTGTTCAGATAAAAACGCTCATATACCTCCATACTCGTTGCTGCACCCACCGTACGGTCAGCGCCTTGGCCGTACATAGGGATAAGCTCTACCGCATGCGTGACATCTGTGAGAGGAATGACTGCACCCAATCTTATCCGCTGGCCTGTGGGCCCTTCCCAATATTTTCGGGCCACCGTATACATACTGATGGCACGCTGACTGCCTGGATCCCCGACGATCTCATAGTACTGGACATAGAGGAGCGGTTGGTCCGCAAGGTAGTGGGGAAGTGTGACGTTGTGAGGTGCAATGGGCTGGAAGACTGCCCGCACTTGAGCAATACGATTTACTGTGTAACAATAATCAGTAATATGCAGCCAAGATAAGGTAAATATTATTTACCTGTCTGGTCGCCGTGTATCGACTGCGTAATCACAGCATCGCAATTTCCTAGAGGAAACTGTTCTGATGGTGGGGCAGCCTGCACGACTTGACTAGGCATGATCATCCGCGAGCGAAAAACGGAATGCAGCTGTAATCGAAACTTATTCCACGTCTTGAGGCGACCACGATCATTGCTCCACGCTGTCGTGAATTGACTGCCGGAAGCCTTCGTAATATAATCAGAAAGCGCTTGTCCAAAATCTGGCAGTGCGTAAAGCTGCTGGATTTCATTGAGAGACATCTTGGCTCGATCAGGAGTAACAGTGACGTGAAAGGCAGCTGTAGCAGTGGAAGACAGGATACCCTTCAAAAAGTGGTTTCGAACTGGGCATGGCCCGACAAAACACCGTTGATTTGGATCATTAGGTGCGACGCGGGCGATCCACGCAAGAGCAGGGTCAGTTTCAGTGACCTCTTGCTCTTCTGTAACTATGGCATTGACGAGGGGGGAATCGTGCATCCGTAGGAAGAGGTACAATTGGAATTGCCGCATCGACTCCTCGCGGTTGAGAATGTCAACGATTTGTTTTGTGAAGGTACGTGACTGGCGCGATGTCCTCTCAAAAGGGAGTTTACAATGAGTAATGAGAAGACGCTCAGTGACGTCAGCAGTCCATTGGATGAGAGCGCCAGTGTCCTTGGTGAACGAAGCAAAACTCTGCAAAAGCTCGAGCTTCGGGATGATAAAGTTGTTGAGTGTTCCTTTGGTGCCTCGTCTCGCGCCTGCATCTAATATTGCGTGTTTATAATCATGAAACTCTTTGAGCGAGGCGACCATGGAATCAACAGAGCTGTCAGAATAAACAGGGCTTTGGGCCTGATAGATGAAGTCGATCAAAGCGCGAATCGCATGGACAAACGGGGGGGCACGACCCCAGTAATAGAAGGAACCAAGGTGCGTTGCAAGTCCCGATGTTCCCGACCAGTCATTTGTTTCATCTGGCATACTCCGGATGAAAAATGGCGTGTTCCTACTCTCTTGTGGTGACTTCGGAAACGGAGATCGAGTTCATCCTTCCCCACCGATTCTTTGCACCACTTGAATGGGTGGTCAAAGAAAAACTTGTGACAGGTATGCAGAATTTCCCCTACCAGAAAGCGAGAAGGATCTGAGTGCCGCCAATTCCGCCAAAAAGGCTGGTGAATGCCACTTAATGATTGAGCCTTGGCCTCCTCCTGGAATTCTCGCAACCTCCATGGATCGATCCGTTGACAGATGTTGTATATCGCCGTAAGTGTATGTTCTTTCGTGCGTGGTGGATGGCGATAGGTGTCACCAAAAGATTGAGACGTGGCCAATGTGATAGGAGAAGCGACCTTCGAGACACATGCTATAGCTTGCTGTTCTGGCAGGTCCGCAGTGTACGCGACCAAAGGTGTGAAGCAGTGTCGTAGATGTCCGGCTGGATCAGGCATGAACTTGCCCACCATGGCTGCGACCTTAGCGTCTGCGAAGACGATGTCCATGCACTTATGGAATAGACGTTGGCTGAGAATGGTTTGGTAGTCAGGATGAACGTCAACGAATTTGGGAATCGGCATATATGCGACGCATCGCCAAGCATGACATGTTGCTCTCATCCGCACGTCAGATTGAATATTGCCAATAGTGACAAAAATAGGGTGCATTTCAAGTCCTCCCGTATGCCGGGTCACAGGTGTCTTATCAGATGCAACGATCATCGGAACAATGGTAGCGCCTTCGGGAAGTTGATCCTGTACCGAAGCCATCAGTAGACTACTGTGAATGATACATCAAACTTACCTGAATTTCATATGCTTGTTGGGCCGTAAAATATTCACTGTATTCGCGCTCACCACCATCGACCACGACGTGCGGGTCATATGTCATGTGGTTCGCAAAAATTGGATTTGCAAAGAGATCTTGCACTACCTCTAAGCCATCACGCCAGATGAGGTTTATCGGTTGGATAGTTGGGTACCCGGTCATTTCAAGGGTTGTTGAACGCCATTTTGGTCCGGTTGGAAGAGAAGCTACCCATGCAAGTAGCTGATCTTTGGAGCTGAACGACGGACCAGCTCGGCGTACCTGTAAACTCAAGGTCAGTACACTAGCCCATACTCCACAGCTCCAGACAAACCCAATCCAGCTTGAGAAATCGCTCCATATCACTTTGCGTTAAGCGTTCACAAAGGAATTTTGCAAGGTCAAACTCTGCCTGGTCTTGAAAGGGATAGAATGGAGCATGACGTCGGCGGTAAGCATACTGGTCATTTTCCATCGCCTCGAGGGTGTTTGGCGCCTTTCCAAATATATAGCCAGAAGATGGGTGGTACCGCCCAAAGATGCGGTCTTTTCCTGCTTCAGAAGTAGATCGAAGGAACGCGGGTGGGACAGGAATACGGCAATCTTGCACCGGAGGCCAGCAACCATTTGTTGTCTGGAGGTGTTCTAACACTGCCTCAGCAGAAGGCAAAACGATTTGACACTGGGGGCATTTTGCAATAGACGATCTGATGTGGTTACTGAAGTATCAATTCTAGAATGGAATAGAAACTTACAAATTGCCATCTACGATGAATGGCCCAGAATGATGGTTGCTAGCGTCCATAGTCACTGGAAGAATGCGGACCTTCACCTGCTTGAGCCAATGAGCCTATGGTGCTACACTGCCAACACAGAGAAAAAGTTGCAAAGTCCTTCAAACTCCGCTTGGCACCCTGTTGTTCATAGCGATATCCCTCAACTGTAGTATAATACTCCCCGTCCTTGAGCTTTGGGCAAGTCTAGTCACTGATCTCTAGCCGCATATGGACGCACCTAACACTCGCATAACCCCCCCTCCTTTGTCTGACTGCGAGACCACAACCTCAACTCGAGTCGACATAGCGTCAGCATTCTCTAGTTCCAAGTTGGTGTCCCCTATGTCCCCTCTTACATCCTTCGGATCAGCCGAGTCCGACATAATTTCGCTCCCTCGGAAGAAATCTCAACGCATAGGCCGTCCCTCCTCTGGCCACATCCTCAATCGTTCAGGCCCTTTGGTAAGGCAAGACCGTCTTCATCGTTTTCGGGAAAAGATCCGCTCTCAGTATAAGCCGCGCCTCGTTTATAATTCTCCCCCATATGAGATTGCCTTTGCGAAGAGGCACATTATGCAGTCTTCACACAAATATTTCTCCCAGCAAGACTTGCATGAGGTAATTATCTCACTTCCCACTCCCGTGATTTTACTTAAACAAGGATCTAGGGTAAAGAGCTACTCCAAAAGAGCTTATCTCATCTATCCAATAGTACTTTCCGCAAGGCCGCTCTAGTCAAACAGGCGTCAGCTCAGGACAAGAGACATGCGGTCATACACACGACCTGGAAACTCGAGTTGATTGAGAGGCAGAGGTCGTTTATGCAGTCACTTCAGAAAGAGCAGGAAGAGGAGCTTAAGAGTGCAGAGACTGAAATGGAGTTCTTCAGGCAGCTGGTCTGCGATCGAGGACTCCCTGCTTTGCAAGACGACCAACAATATTTGGAGGCAATTTTTGCGGAAGAATTGGACGATCTCGATGTCGCCAATGAGCAGTACAGACAGTTCACGACTCATGCGAGGAAGCGTGTTGTTCCATTTGCAAACAGCAGTGACACGGAACTTTCCCCTGACGAACTCGTGGCAGATCATGATTCCTCAGACTCCCACAGTGATGGGGGGTCGGATGACCTCGTTTACGGAGCAAATGAATAGGAAGGTACGTTACTGCTAGTTTCCCATTCTTCTTCGTTCTATTAACGACACATGTTCAGTCAATCTGACACCGAACAATTCAATCCCTATCGCCTCCTATCGCCCCAATTTCATTCTGTATCGCCTATATCGCCTCCTATCCAATCCTGATGCCTTCCAATCCGATCGTTGTGCGGCATTTTACCTCAGCCCATCACCACGACTTGTCCACATTTTCCGTTTATGTCGAATGCGTTGTAGATTATGTATGATCTTTCCGATTTATACTCAACGTGTACGGTTCTTTATGTTTGAATATATGCTACATTGGGTAAGTAAATAGCTGGTACATCAGTAAGATCCCATGGCCCCTCGACGAACAGCCCCTCAACCCCGAAGGACATCCGCCAAACAAAAAGTGAGTCCCCTCCATCGAACACTCAAACATTTCTGACATGATTTAGGCACCGCCACGACCAAAAAAGAACTTGTCGCTCAACGCCTCAGGGCGCGACATCACAAGCCAACTCGGTCTGCCTCAAGATCGCCCACAAACACCCGAATCTGTACATCGCACCCCCAGCATGGATCCAAATCAACTCCCTCCCTTCCAAACAGATCCTCAGTTCCAGCCCCAACCCCATTTCCCGCCCTCATTCAACCCGCAGGATTACCTAATGGGGGGCGGCTACGAGCCGCCCCAAGACCAATATCACCCATCTCAAGACCACTACCAGCCGCAGGACCACTACCATCCGCAGGACCACTACCATCCGCAGGACCACTACCAGCCGCAGGACCACTACCATCCACAGGACCACTACCAGCCGCAGGACCACAACCAGCCGCAGGACCACAATCAGCCTCAGGACCACAATCAGCCGCAGGACCACAATCAGCCGCAGGACGACTATCATCCGCAGGACCACTACCAGCCGCAGGAGGGGTTTGAGCAGGGAGGGTTTGAGCAGGGAGGGTTTGAGCATCAGGGAGGGTTTGAGCATCAGGGAGGGTTCGAGCAGGGAGGGTCTGAGCAGCAGGGATTCCAGCCGCCGCCTCAAGACCAACCACACGAAGGCGACGATGCTCGACCCGTGCATCAAGAACTCGACCTCCATGGCCACGGCGTGCGACGACATATGCGCTGGGACCTCGGGGACGCTGGTGTCCCGCGCGCGCAGCCACGTCCTCAGGTCGTCGGTGTCGCAATTCCTCGCGAGAGGGAATCTGAACGCGGGGAGTTTACTCAAGGGGTCATCCATGTAAGTCGTTCCTTTTCTAATATATGATAATATATAACAATACTATAGGAACTACGTACGTCGCAAACTGTTGGCCGGCTTGGAACGCGTCCGGTCGACCGGCACCTACCTCCAACGCCAGCATCAGTGCCAGCACCCGCACCCGCACCTGCGCCTCAACCAGCACCACCCCCACCACCCGAAACCACCGCACAAGCGCCAAATGCGTCTAACGATGAGGTTCCTGATTCGGTTTTCACCGTAGAACTCGATAAACCCACCATCGATTCCATCAAACTCTCCGCGAAAGAAGAATTACGTCGCATGATGATGCAAGGGAGGGACGCTGTGTCGCCGACACGAAAAAAACGGGGGGCTGTCTTAGACAAAGCCCTCAAGAAGGCACGCATTTCTATCATTGGTCAAGGTAATTTTTCGTTGAATTCATTCATGACGTCACTAACACTTTTTTTTTAAAAAGTTCGATATAAACCATTCGAAAAAAAAAAGTCCGTTCGCGAAGAGCTCGTGACATGTATGTCGAATGTACGGCGGGTATTTAGAGACTACGCCGCCAACATCGTTCAAACGGCACTCAATCTACGACTACCTATATCCTCGGAACCTGGCGAGGAGGTCGCCCATAAGGCAGTGCTAGTCCCGGAGCTATTGAAGAATTTGAACTTCTTGCATAAGTCAGAGCTGGTATGTCTTTTTCTGATGTTCGTGTGCTGATTTTTTATTCACAAACTGACTAGGGTGAGGACGGCATCAAACGGTTTTTGCTGCTGGAGGCGGATTATTTTGTCGAGATGATTGTCGACGTCATCTGGCAGAAAGGACTTTACGAGTATATTGATCCCCTCCGACTCGACAGCGCGATCGCCCTCGCTGGGGCTGCATTGCAGAATGCGCTGAAAGCTTACCGGACGGGCAGGTTCGAGTCCGTCGATGCTTCAGCAGAGCAGTTCTATGACACCTACAAGGCGATCCTGGTGCTGATTGACAGCATTCGAGCAGATCCTGCTCTGAAAGTAAGGTACGAACGGCTTCAGGAACTTATCGTGACGCGGGGTCGTGAGCGCATGGGTCTTGATCTCACTGATTCGAACGACGACGACGAATAGATAACATTCGCTTCGGTAACATGTAGATAATCTTCGCTATCACTATGTACTACTAGATAATCTTCACTATCGCTATGTACCGCTTGATAATCTTTTCAATTTTTGTTACCAACACATCAATAAAACTCTTTTGGGTGTAATAACGACTAAAACAGCGTATTACGAACTACAAGCGACGAAAACACACTACAAGCGCGCACTAACCAAATTTAACTCGAGGTGGGAGCCTCGAAGGATACTCAAAGGTCCGTTTTGGGTTTTTCAACTTTCAGATGAAGGTTCCCAGGACGCCTGGACAACCAGGTCGCTGAGTTTGAAACTCAGGAACGAGAATGGGCCGTCGACCGGATTCTATCGCATAAGGGAAGCCGAGCTGACGCAATGTTCGAGGTTCAATGGAAGGCGGGAGACGTCACGTGGTTACCCTTCGATCAGGTTCTGTCACAGTCGGTCATCGCGTATGAGACTCGGGAAAAGGTTGGGGGAATATGGTGAGTTCACACTGCTCCAAAAAATATCAACAATTACCGAGCACTATCCCGTTCAGGCTGCCTTCACCGCCGGTTGTTGACGACTACAATGCTCCTGTGACGGCTCTTTATGATTCATTAACCACGAATGTGCCTCATCCTATCATGGCATATACCAGCTACTCCTTTCCGCCAGAGACTCCTTTGTTTCCGTCAGCACATGTAGTGCAAACGTATCTCGAATCGTATGCTGCATACTTCAATCTTATGCCCCTCATCAAGTTCGATACCGCAGTATTAGATGCACGGTGGGAATCAACTCAGTGGATAGTAACCCTTTCGGATGGAGGACACTTTGCATATGATCACTTGATCGTCACAAATGGACATTATCATTTACCCCGCATACCAGAACTGCCAGGGTTGGCAGATTGGATGAAACGTGGTAGAGCCTCTCACTCTGCATGGTATAGAAAACCTGATTTTCTTGGGGACAAAATACTTGTTGTTGGAGGCGGACCCAGCGGTGAGCACATCGCTACTGAGATGTGCACAGTTTCCTCGGTGGTTATTCATGCTGTCACGGTCCCTGGCATAAAGAGACCCTGAAAATCTCATCCGGAGAGGTCGGCTTATCGAACTCAAAGCTAACGGACAAGCACTTTTTGACGACGGCACGACGGAAGATAATATCGACTACTGTATTCTGGCAACCGGATTCTGTATGCATTTCCCCTTCTTGGAGGAAGCGTCCATGATCATCAACAATATACCACCGGACTTCCCTCCATTACTTCCCGGCAAGCTTTTCAACTCAACCTACCACGTGTTTCCCCTTGCAAAGCGTTTATTTCCGCTTCAATCTCCATATCCTATCTCGTCAATCGCCTTCATGGGCCTCCTCATAAAGGTCGTGCCGTTTCCACTCATGGAGGCTCAAGCATATGCGATTGTGCGAACGTTTTCCGATCCTTCATCTCTAGATCCTATCGCAGAAACAGTTGATATCATCACTCATAGTGATAAAATTAAACGCGCTGGTGCTTCAACACCTCTAGCCGTCGCCAAGGCCTGGATCCGATTCGACGGGCAAGACCAGTGGGATTATCGAAACGCTATGTATCAATTTGCGCAGGGCATGGGGTCGGGGACTCCGCTCATCAAAGTCACAGAGTGGGAGAAAGAATTATACGGTCTAAAAGTGGATTTGAGGTCGGGATGGGAAGATTTGGAGAAGTCGGGAGATTCAATTGCGTGGTTGAGAGACGTCGGGAAGAATGGGGTGCAGGATTGGGTAGAGTTAATGTATCGTGTATTGGATTATGCCAGGACTCCAAAGGACTCGTTGGGAAAATTGTGATCATAGCGCAATGTGACACGCCTCTCGTGTGCAAACTAACACATTATTACCGAGTAGTATTAGCTCAACTGTTATATACTACTATCGTAAAGGAATGTATCCCTCACTTCCACAAGACATCGCATACTCACTATTAACCTCCGGCCAGCCGGGCTGCACGTCGGAAATAGCACTTGACCTCTGATCGAGTCACCAGCCTATCTGATTCTGGATCCAATATAGCGACTCTACCAAAGTGACTGATCTCCGTTGCTTCAATGTTCGCCGTCCATGTTACCGTCACGGGGCTAATACTACAAGTGATGTGAAAGCTTTTTTTTTACTGGTACTGAATGGCAGTTCTGTAATCTGCGTCAGAAATCAATGGACGTTTTCAAAATCAGGTCCTAGTCATGTACGGGAGATGTCGACTACCTGGCAGGCTCGAACATTTTATGCGTGTCATATGTACTATATGGCGCCGTCAATATCTTCTTACGCGTATATACATATTCTCAGCTATACGATCTATGCCTTGACTCGACGTTTCGATCTCGACTTGATGTGCTATACAGCACAACGACTTACGATGGTGGACGGCTTGGACTCTTCGTCTTGTTGTTGTTATCGCTGCCTGACGACTTACACTTACATTCTCTCCCTTTCAAGGACTCAGTACTCAGTACCGGGAGCAGATTTCTCTACTGGAGAGTCGAGACCTAGCACAGATTTTAGAACTGACCGATCATGAAGCAGACCAGTCTAGATTCGATTCAATATATATATCTGTTGAGTCTCCACATTTCTCGAGTCCGTTTCCTCACAAATTTCTGTAGGAAGTTCTATCCATTCGATCAGCTGTAGCATGGCTGTTGATCCTCTTCAGTTTCTTTCCCTTGTTGCCTTCCTCTCTGCCCTTGAGGCTCGCGGAGTGTCTCTAGCCACTGGTCTGACCGACACGGCCATCTTTTTTCCGTCCAACAGACTATTAAACGGCTCTTCGTGCGGACCGTCGAACACCCGCGCGTTCGCTTCAAATATGGGCTTCTTTGATCATACTGAAGGCTTCATACAAGATCCTTCCACCCGTGACTCTGGCTATCTTTTGGGTTTTTCGGACACAACATCTTCCACTGCATCATCTGCTCTGCTCTACCAGTTTCTCCTCCTCTTCTCAGGTCAATTGGCTTCTATCTCACGAGACATCTTGTCGCTGCGTCGTTCTGTTGCCTCGCTCGAGTCATCATTGTCTGCAGTTGAGTATAAAATCGCTTTGCTTATCTTATCAACGCTCATGAATCGATTTTGGCACAGTTCAAAGACGAAGCATTGCAGACACATACCAGGGCGTCATTTGATAGCGAGGAATTGGGTCGAAAATTACACCACCTGTCCAGCATCATGACCGTCCAGGAGGGTCAAGTGAGCGCGCTGCGTGACACGGTCGGTACACTGCAGCCGTGCACAATCCACGTTAGTCCAGACCGCCAACCACTTGCTGAACGCGCGCGGAGTTACACAGAGTTTGACGCTCCCCAGAAATGTCTTCGTGTTCAATTCACTACTCAGATTCAGGAACACATCGAGTGCAAGAAAGACTACGCTGCTTTGCGTCAGGACCTTCAAAAACTTTCGGACTTGGCTTCGATAAATGATACTAAGACCAGTGTATCGCTGGATCACCTTCGTGGTCAGATCGTTGACCAGGTCAAAGATCAAAATCGCACCGAGAAAGAAGTTGCACTCTTGCGCGAACAGATGACAAGGAAATTTGGGGCGTTTCAGTCCAGAGTATCTTCTCTTACACTAGACGCCGTAAAGGTACATCATGGCGTTCGATTATCGGACCAGGCTGCCAAAGAAGCTCGTCGGGCAAAAGCGATGGCGGCGGTGGGCCATCGTATTATGCAGCTTCAAGGTATGTGAGTCCCACTAATGACTTTACATTCTGACGCTCACATGTTCTTATGACATTTGGAAACGTACGGCATGTTCTTGACTAATGAAGACACCATCCCGCAGAATAATGAAAATGATGCGGTAGTTCCGTCCCCGTGTTCTTCACCAATTTCGGTTGGGCGCTTCCAGGTGGATTTATTCAATGTCTCGACGTCACCGTTTTTTCATGATTGTTGACATGTGCTCGTCTCTTGACCAATAGGACTCTGACGTATTCAAGACTTCGTCACCCTGTGTCCAATGGGTTAGGACTACTACTCCTTCCGACACCAAGGTACTGCATTCATTACCCCCATCTCGGGAATACATAAATTGCAAGGGTAGGGAGTCGATTGACTTCTCATTGACGGAGTTGACGCAACATCATAGAAAATGTGGATGGTATCCATTCTCCCTCCACCACTGTTACTTTCTGTCAAGTTGACGCTGAGGTTGGCATCCTAAGGAGGAAACAGAAAGGACCCACAATCACTGCTTTCCAACCCAAGGGTGCGTTTCCCCTCCTGTAGACCTTCAGGTTAAACAACAGAAGGTGTCTTGTTTCAATGGATCATAGATGTCAACTGGATGCCGACGCCTTCCCCGTCATCACCAGCGCACGTTGAGATTTCTACCACACCAGTTTTACCTCGTCCAGGGCTCTCAGCAATACAGCGTGATCATGTCCCTGAGCGAATCTTCAAGCGTACGTACCTAAATCGTGTTGACTGTCAGAGCAGTGATCTGATGCGCACGCACCTGGTGACTCAGAGTACCGCAATAAGAGCCTCTATGCTTCTCCTTTGAACGGTCCCGGTACCCGCATCCGAGGATGGATATAAGAGCCAATCGGCCATTTGTCCATCCTTCTTTAAAACTGGGTGATAAAAAGTATTTTTTCTCCGTTGCCCTGCGTTGCAACGTTTATTGTCAATGATGCATAGGTAATTGCTACCTACCAAGGACTCGTTTTTGTGCGCTGCTGGCACCATTGCCAATGTCTTTGTACAAAACCTTGATGGAACCTCGGCCTGCCACATTCTGCACAGCATGATTTGACTTCTGCCATGCCACGTGGCAGAATGAAAGAGTTTTGCTTGAGACACTAGCCTGGTTCTCAAAACAAGTTCTAAATGTAAAGATCTGCTGGCGGGCATAAGAAGCAAGTATGACTACAAGTGAGCAAGGTTGCTGCAACAAGTAAATATGACGAGCGCGAAGAAGTGCTGGAAGTACTGGCCCGGGTGAAACAGTAAGGGAAACAAACCTATCACCTGTCGCATGTAATTCTTAGCCAACCTCCCGGACATATTGTACCAAAGAAAGGAAGCGAAATCGAGGAAAGCTTCGCCGACCCGAAGGCTCGGCGGATGCCTTGCCACTATTGCGTGACCCACTTTCCTCCAATTACTAATACCTTACCACCTTGCAGATCAGCTTCGGTGTGTAGGTGTCCATCGAAGATCGGATATGCACAGTCAATCGTTTTATAACTCTGTGCGGGTCAATTCCACGCGGAGACGCCTGTTAATAAACTGCTTGAACGCCCATTTCTATAGTAGTACTGCCGCAAAGAAGCCATTCGACATCCTGTTCTTCGGTCGCGACGAATTCTCTTGTAACGTCTTCAAGCAATTGCATGACGCCCGAGGTAAGTGTAGCTCATGACATGGGCAATCCAAGGTTATGTTGATCGGTGATATAGATGTTTGGAAGTCCATCTCAATCGCTACTAACCCAGACGTGAAAACTGGTCGACGGGGTTCTCATTTGTCAATTTGTGCGTATGCATTTTTTTCGTAGTAGTAACATACCTACGGCCGCCTCAACAGCTCCACTTAAACAACTTGGGGAATCTCTCGAGGTTCCAGTTCACACTATACCACGACGAAAGGTTGACTTCAGGGATTGGATGGTGCGTGTTACTTTTTTTTCTTGCTGAACCGCTCTTATGTTCTATGCAGCCTCCTCCACCATTTACGAATACCAACGAAGCCCACTTCTCTGACCCTGCCAGTGAAACTCGTCTTCTTGTCACTGCTTCCTTCGGACGTATTCTCCGCCCTTCGCTCTTGCATGTCTTTCTACCAGGTCAGCGACTTAATGTTCATCCAAGCTTACTGCCTGCATATCGAGGTCCGGCGCCCATCCAAAGAGCTTTGATGCGAGGAGAAAATGTGACAGGTGTGTGCGTTATTGATATGATGGAGAAGAAGGAAGGGATTGATGCGGGAAGCGTGTGGGCCTGCAAGAGCATGGTAAGTAATACGGCGAGCAAATAATCATGCGTAATTCATCTTGCTGCAGGTTGTTCCAGAAAACGCGACATTTCCTTTGATGTCGGTAGAGCTGGCCCGAATAGGAGGAGATTTACTCGTCACAGTACTTCGGGATATGTTACTAGGAAAGGTTAGTGCACGAAAACCTGGCTGATTCTAAATGTTTACGCTTCCATCAGGCTAGCAGCATTCCGCAACCTCCAGTCTCATCTATCACACCACATGCTTCTGCAATATCCGCTTCGGATGCACGAGTTGCTTTTACGTCCCAAACTGCGTTGGACATAGTCCGACTTTCTCGCGCCATTTCACATCAACGTCCTATCACGACTACGATGCCCGATGGACGCACTCTTCAGCTGCACCATCTCAGTGTCTCCAAGAGCCATGATGACTTGAGTCCTGTCGAGCCTGGTTGGGCAATGTATTCGCCGCACACACGCACAATACTTATAAATTGTGCTGACGGGAAGTGGCTGAGTGTTTTAAAGTTAAAATCACAAGATCGTGCCCTTCTGACTGCGAAGGAATGGTGGAATGGGGTTAAGGGGCTAGGTGTGCTGCACGAGGGTATGCTGAAACTTCTCTAGAAGGTTCTTTCATGTCGGTATATCACTTACTCTTAAAGAAGTGATTCTCGAGCGCTTGCTACGGAGGCCGGGTTTGATTCATATTCAGAGAAGCATACTGCGCAGTCCGGGAAAGGTCCGCCACAATCCCGGGTCTATGGATAATGATTGTCACTGAAGTGCCTCGTGTGGATGCATGTGGTTCAGGAGTAAATTAGGATTGTATCGGGTCCAATCCTGTGCCTGTATTACAACCCTCGAAGAAGTGTGTGGTAGGTTTGTCCAATGAGTGTTAGCTCGGCCCGATCAGCACGCAAAAAATTACATGTAATGCATCACCTGCAGTAAACCTGAAGGGGTTTGCGATAGAGCCACCGATAAGCTCCCTTTCCACAAACACCCGACAACGACCTCGACACTATCCTAGGGTAGTACTTAATATTGCGCGCATAAAAATGGCCAAACGGCGGCAGATCGAGTGGAGGATGCGAACCGACTGATACCACTTGCAACTTGAACGAAGTAGGCTATGTCCCTGATCACAGTCAAAGAATACAACTCCAAACAATATGATTACCATCACCTGAAGAAGACTTGAATCACTTGATAATGATTGATGAGTGATGACGACGACGACATGTGTTTTGGCCATCTATGCCATGGACAACTCAGATATGTTAAGTGTCGCGGTCATGAAATGCGTTGTCAAGTTTCAAGTTTGACGCGACGCGTCTCTTTGTTCTTGTTTGTTCATAATGGTCCACTGGTTACAGTACTACTAATCCAAAGAGTCGTCTATTCCCAATACTCTGCACATCTCTTAAGGCTTTCTGAGCCACTCAGTGCGCCCAACTACATATATTCAATCATGGGAATATCTGGGCTTTTACCCTTGCTGAAATCAATCCAGCTTCACCGACACCTCTCAGACTTCGCCGGTCAAACATTTGCGGTGGATGCTTATGTCTGGCTTCACCGAGGTGTATACGCCTGTGCCACTGAGATAGCCACTGGAAAGCCCTCTACGAAGTCAGTGTTTTCCTGCTTGTCCCGGGGCGGTTCGCGGTTGCCAGTATGCTCATCTTCTCAACTAGGTATGTTGATTATGCTATGCAGCGTGTTCGCTTATTGCGCCATCACAAAATTCGTCCGTATATTGTGTTCGACGGTGGGCCACTGCCGGCAAAGCTGGGCACCGAGACTGAACGCAGGCAGCGGAGGCAAGAAAACCTTGCGAAGGCAAAGGCGCTGGCGTCCCAGGGAAGACACAAAGAAGCCCGGGAATACTTTGTTAAATGTATCGATGTGACTCCTCAGATGGCGTACCAACTCATAAAAGTTTGCTGTCAATTCTTGGGCTAGACATTCGTCTGATACATTCTTCACTTTAGGCCCTACGCGCAGAGAATGTGCCATACATAGTCGCACCGTATGAGGCCGACGCTCAAATGGCGTATTTGGAGCGTGTTGGTCTTGTGGATGGTATCATCACCGAAGACTCGGATTTGCTTGTCTTCGGATGTCGAAAGGTGCTCTTCAAGCTGGACTCTACTTCAAGCACTATTGTCTCAATCTCGAGGGAGGACTTTGGATCAGTGACTGCTGCTGAAGGGGGTATATCACTTCTTGGATGGTCGGACGCTCAGTTTAGAGCTATGGCTATCCTTAGCGGATGTGATTATCTGCCGAGCATTCCAGGAATCGGGCTGAAGACTGCGTGGTCCTTGCTACGGAAGTATAGGAGCGTAGAGCAGGTCGTGCAAGCTATAAGACTTGAAGGGAAGAAGTCTGTGCCCAAAGGGTATCTAGAAGCATATAATCTGGCGGAGAAGGTGTTTTTGTACCAGCGTGTTTATTGTCCCCTGGATGAGAGACTGGTCAACTTGACAGAGATCCCCACGGGAGTTAAGTGGGGCAATAAAGAGGAATCGTATATCGGAGGGTCAGTCTCTGAAAAATCGCTTGATGGAGACTTGAGGACTGATTGATTTCTCTCAAAGTGACATAGAACCTGCTTTGGCAAGAAAACTGGCCCAAGGGGACGTTGATCCAGTGACACTTCTGCCGATGATCGATATCAATCCGAGTTTCGTACCTCGCACAGTAAAGCCCCTCCCATTTCAGGCCAACAATGTTAATCGGCCTAGCTCAGTCAAAGGAAAGGGCAAAGCAAAAGCCGAGCCTGAGAGTGGCGGATTGCTTACCTTCTTCGGTATTTCCGTCCTCAGTGCCAATGACACCCATATATTTGACCGTATTCCTACAGCTCCACAGCCAAAAGCTACCCTTACTCGTAGTAATTCCGCGCCAACAAGGAGAACGGCAGTGCCCGGTAAAGGTAGCGGAAAGAGGACACTTGTTGATATACTTGACGAAGACCTCGCTGCAAAACGCATAAAAATAAATCAGGCTTCGTCTTCCACAGACCATTCTGTCCTCACACATTCAAGGTTCTTCCCCTTTCCATCGATGTCACAACAGCAGGTGGAACTACCCGAGGACGATCTGATGCCCAGTTCACGTATCCCACACCCCCTATCTGATAAAGAAAATCTCCCCGATCATGCCGACAACGTTATAGTAGTCGAGGAATTGGACGAAATTCTTGAAGAGCCCCGGGATCCTGTTACACAAGAAGATGGGTACCTGTCACCTTCCCCATCCTACTTCCGATCAGCCACACCTGATCTTTCTTCACCTGTACGGCCGTATAACCCCGCACGGCATGATCGTCGTGACGGAGACGACTTCGGCGCTGATATCGTCCCCAGCCCCACGGCAGTGAGAACAATCACGCGACATGCCTTGCATCAATGTTTACTGCCTAAGAAAGAGAAAGTTAGTATCCTCGTTCGGGAAACGCCGCCGCCGATGAATGACATTGGTTCTGCCGATGAAATCGAAGGACCTGACTTGCGTGATGTTCTCGACATTGAACCGCCTTGGGATATCGATGCAATCGATGATGATATAATCACTTCGGCATCATCATCATCCACTACTGGTCCTATTACTCCGGAAGACAACGGTACGAATGACGAATTTGACATAGATGGATCGGCTGAAAAAGATACAGTGACCGAGGCGAGTGCACGCGCAAAACGCACCGAGATAGTCGCCAACGGGTGGTGGAATAAGTGGGCCCTGAACAAGAACTTACGCACTTCGGTACGTATTAACATTTCCGTGACGATTGTCATCGTAATCTGACCTATCTAATCGCTTATAGAAGACTAGCGTGCTCAGAAGGCGCGAGACCACGATCACTCCAGATGGCCGGCAGCCTGGATGTCGTACTCGGGTAGGATCTGCACCGCCCAAGGTCAGGTTTCCATTGTCTAGCGCAGTAGCATCTAGGGATGGAAGAACCCTGAAGGCTGTGGGAGGTACGGGGATTCGTAATAGTCCACAATTTGTGATCGGTAAGTCGCCTGGCCTCGGCTAAGAAGAGACGATAGTAGGAATGGTCTTGAACGATTTAGGTTTGTTCGGTGCTACTATCGGAAGGTTCATTAATTTACTTACGAAATCAGTCGTTCGCGCGAGAGGCGCAAAGCGTTTTAAGGTTGAATCCACTGCATTCTGCATTCAAGCTCGTTATTTCCGATATCTACTTCACGTCCATCACTGTATATAATTTTATTTGGTGGAATGAGGGATGACCGAGATACCAGAGTAGGAATACATGAGGTCGGCGAACATGCAGTTAAGTACTAATTTAATTTTTTTTGTAGCATGAAATCGGTTCATGTTTACATGCTGTGCATGCAGGCATCTAGTGCAGTTGTATACTTTCAGATTAAATCCGTTAATTAAAGCGGAATCTAATCGTCGAATGCGTAGCTTGATTGATTTGTAAGGACTTTTTTTTTTTTTTTTTACCAGTAATCGTCGACAATCCGTCCGCCGGTACCAAGTCAGTATTACGCAATTCCGTCTGTGAACACTGTGTTTTGTTTGACAATCTCAATCTCGGAGCGCTAATTAGCATCCTGACAGGTCTAAATTTTATTCACAATGACAATGGTTGGGGCCCACAGCGAACGTCGTACCTCTGCCACGCGGGGTTCGCGGAGTGTAAATTCCTAGTCACAAAAGCACTACGTCAAACGACAATGAGCTGCCATCAGGGGAAAGCCCGCGTAGCCATCCCCCCGATGGGAGTAATAATTACCCACCAATGAAACTGGTTCTGGAGGTATATGATTCTGATATTTTTTTCAGCCGATGGAAGATGTTATGCAATGTTAGGCTATTGCCTCGTTAAAATATTGCCAAACGGTGTCATTAATTGTCAAGTCACTTCTGCTTGGTATCCAGGGCAGTGAATTCCGGAACGATGGATATGATAAATCTTTACAAGATTCTTGACGAGATTTGCTGTTTGGGTTGGATCAGGTTCAATTCATAACTAATAAAGGACATGGAGCGTCAAATAGGGTTAGTTCTCAAAACGAAGGGGGGGTTGGTCTTTTTCTAATTCCGAGTATCCATACGGTGCAAGCCACGTCTCTCAATTCGTTCATATCACCCCGCAAGATCAAGGCGAGAGCCCTCATGTTTACTGATGGACACGCACGCAGAGCACACGCCTCTCGGCTTTTATCTGACTACAGGCGAAACAAAAAGCGGCACTCTTCCTCACATAGATTCCTACCACTGCCCTGGACGCCCCGAGTTAGAACACCTCGTTTCTCTGAATTTATCCTTCGCGCTTCCCTCCCACGGTACAAAAAGGTAGTCAACTGCCCTTACTGTTCGTACATTCTTTTATCCTTGTTCCACTTCGAACAACGCTCATGCCATCAACTACTTAGCTCTATGGGAGGCCAAGGGCATGTGCCCCAGCTCCTTGGTCAAATATCAGGCATAGTCATGCCTTTTGATGGCACCGAAGAGCATTTGTTACCGGATACCCAGTCATCCCGTCCTCGCACATCCAAACAATATTCCTATCTTGGTGACGGCGACATTTCTCCCAAAGGCCTCAGTGTACACTTCATGGCTTCGTGTACTACCAACGAGCCTGAAGTGAATGACCACCAACAGCAATTGTCACCCTCATCATCACAGTCCGTTGGATATCCAGAGTCCTCTCAGAGGACAACCTCCGCATTCCAAACCTCCGCCCAGTACGACCTCCAAAACTTTGACTATTTCGCCTCTTCCACCTTTCTCTCATCCCAGGTCTCTCGTACTAGCCTTCGTGCCTCCCACATTCTCCCCAGTTGCAGGGAATGGGTCGGTGACCAGGATGATGAGCAAATAAACCCGACATCTCATCTCGACATTCAGTCACTCGACTACCCAGGTAGTCAAAGTCCCACTGGACAGGAGCAAGTGTCACCAGACAGCGCATCCGCAGAATATACATATCCTGACGACTCCGACATGGAGACGGGTCTAGTCATGTCCCAGATGATGGCCCATTTCCAGATTCATACGCCTCCCCCGAATGCAAGCATGACGATGTCCGTCACCGACCTGGACCCTCCAATACCATCTGTCATGACCTTTCGGTTGGGTCGTCAGTCTCTTAGACCAGTCGCAGACCCGGACAACGCAAGGATCTTGGAAAGCTTTGACGACCCTGATGAAGACGCATCGGGGGAGTCGTGCGAATCTTCGTCGCCGCCTTCACCTCCTTATTTGTCTCCTAGTTCTTTTTATGATGGGCCAGCAGCAGGAGGCTGCGGAAACGTCATAGAGAGGAACTCAGTAATTGGGGTGGCTTCTTCCAAGGAAGGGTGTTCGTCATACCTTCCCGATGAAATCCCTCATTTCGGGGGTCCCAACGGAAACATTGACTCCTTCATTCCACTAAACACAGCCCCAAGAAGGAGAGGGTCGTCTAAAAGGTCCAAAATGCACCAGTGTTCTATCTGCTTGAAAATATTCCCGCGCCCCAGCGGTTTGAACACACACATGAATTCTCACTCGGGAGCTAAACGTGCGTTGTAGTCCAACAAATCGTCCTTTATTTTTGACTTTGCAGTGTCCAACAGCTTACAAGTGTCCGGTACCATCGTGCGATAGACACTTTGCAGTGCGATCCAATGCCAAGCGCCATCTCAAGACACATGGCATTAACCCTTCTTTGATGGAGGGGCCATCTCAAGGCACAAACTTTATGGTTGGGTTTGAGGAGCCTCTCGTAAATCACCATGTTCACGATGCCGGCCGGCCACCGACAAGACTCAGGTGGATCCCGCACAGCCTCGTCACGAGGACGCAACCCGTTACCGAGTGGATCGGCTCCCAATCGTCGGGTGGAGACGATTCGAAAAGCACACGCCCTGTGGTCTCAATGACGTTACCGGGGGCGCCCTCATCGTCATTGAACCAGGCATCAGCTTATCGTTACGACAATAACAATGATTATACTGATGCGGGTTCTCGTCACTACCACCCCAGTCAGGTCCGTCTTCGCCCCGCTCGGGGGTTAAACCGCGCTGATTTCTAGTGGGGTAGAATGACTTCCGGTGCGACCCACCCAATCGTTCCACAAGATAGCCGTTCCCTTTGAATCGCACACGGCATGTACTTATCTACAAGAGGCTCGATGCCTGCCTAATACTAATGTGAAGACTGACCACACATTGATTAGTTTTGATCAAATATTAGACACTCGATGCACAGTTTACAATCCAACGATCATTAGCTAGCATTTGTATTCTAGGATTCGCCGCAATGTTAAATTATGGGGTTTTAGGGGATTCTTGGACTTTGTCAGCCTTGCTCGAGCTTTCTCCTGACGGTCTCATTTCATTTCGCGAGCGGTGGGGTCCATACACCACACGATTGACCATTCCGATAGGAATATCGTACAGCTCAGGAATAGCACCCGGATCCGCGTGTTTAAGATGCTGATTTGCGTGGTGTGCTTTGGTATCTACCTGCTGTTTTAGACTCCCGTGGGTATTATTTCGGAGATTGCTCACCAATGAACGTGTTGGGGTCAGAGAAGGATGGTGTACGTGCGATCGCGATAGCAAAATAGACAAAGTACGTCAAAAGTACGAGGACAATGGAGTATGCCGGGAGAAGCAGAGTCCATTCCCTCGATATGATGCGCAATAAGGGCGGTTTTCTCATGAGAAGTTGCATGACTCACCTACTCGGGTACCATTCCACGCCCAGCCAGACGATATATTCATCTGGGAGCAGGGCCCATAGCACATACAGAACAAACAAGACAGATGTAGAAGTCCAAGCTACAAAACCGTAAAATTCTGGTGCGCGACTGTGGCGTTCATCAGGTGGTTCTAGAGTGAATGGAGCTACTGGAGACGTGGTCTCCATGGGCAAGTCAGCGACTCGGTGCATTGACAGAGGCTGGGAATATTATTAATAACCTGGAGTCGGAGCATAGACGCTCTAAGCCCGCGTCTTTGTCCACGATCATCATCGACGACCGAGCATTACTCGCGGATCTGCAATTGCGCTTCTTACTAACCAAGCCGACTTGTTGGCCCTTGGACCCTCTTGGACCTGCTTACTCCACTAAACAATATTGATCTTCGCTGACGTTTTGGGCAGGCAGAACTCATGTCGATCCTTCAAAACACTAATAAAAGAGCACTCCGTAAAGCGATCACCACGACCCTCCGGGAATTATCTCAGTCTGATATCCAGTCGCAATGTGAGTCTCAAATACTATGCTGGGATACTGATATGACTAACATGCTGCGCGAAGCACAGGCCATTACCGAAAAAGTCCTTTCGCTACCCGCATTCCAGCAATGCAAGACTGTCAGCTGTTATCTTAGTATGCCAGCAGCCGAGGTTCAGACGACTTCTTTGATCCTGAACATTCTTGGAGATCTAGGTGCGTGACGGTCCTTACTACCCCTGGTTGCATGTGTTTATGCACATTGTTAGGGAAGACTTTGTTTGTTCCTAGCATCACATCCAGCGATGCTTACATGGACTTTGTACGAGTGTATACCGAAGAAGACTATCGCAGCTTTCCTGCCGGTTTATGGGGCATTCCGGAACCGACGCCTGAATGGTCGAGTAAAAAACGTCAAAGTAGTGCGTCAAATTTGTGTGAAAAAGTGTCATGCAAGCTGATTGTTGCTCAAGTTTTCGACGCAGACTGCAACGATTTGGATCTAATCCTCGTGCCTGGTGGGTAGTATGCATGCATCAACACGATTCGTGGAGATCATTTTCTTTTGCTACAGGTGTTGCCTTCGACCAATCACTCTCGCGGCTTGGGCATGGAAAGGGCTACTACGATCGATTCATAACGTCATATTCTTCCTCTACCGGGCGATCGAAACCATTGTTAGGTCGGTACTACATTACGGGCACCGCGGAACTACATTCTAACTAGTTATCTCAAGTCGCTTTAGCTTTGGAGCAGCAACTTTTGGAACATGGACAAGTACCGATGTTCGACCATGATTGGAAGATGGACATGATTATTACACCCGACAAAGTTATTACTGCACCTCGAGCTTAAGATGGATACCAAGATCCGTTAGGAACAGTGGAAAATGCTTCATGCTCCATGATGTGCTGGCGATACACATGTCATCAAATTATCGATGTGGCATGCACAGGCTGCGCTTACATAGATCATATTGGTGCCGGGCCTGTCCTGAAGGGTGCGTAGGAGATGAAAGAAGCTGTACTGCTCTGTCACAGAAAGTTAGCACTAGATATCATCTCAGTGAACCTTGTCTTGCCCAGTTGTTCGAGATTCTGGCACAATTGCCAATCGATAGGATCGGCCGGCCGGTAGGTAGGTCGAACCTATACATATGAGTGAGCAATATGTGCCACGTTGTTTTAGCGACCTTACCTAGCTGTGGTACCATCACAGCTTTTGCTCCTGTCTCAAAGTTTCCAGGAGAGCCGTCAGCATTGAGCAATTTCGTTGACATTTGGGAGGTTGTGATAATCTGTGATTGAAGTAAGGTGACTGACTGGATCGCGGCGAGGTGCTCTTTGCTCTTACTGTCAGATTATTCAATGCACTTGCTTGCAAAAATACCTGATGGATCTTCTCCAACAGCGCTGTCCGTTTAGAGGACTGAATATCTGGATGAGATAGGAACGGAAATGAAATTGAATTGAGAACGAGAAGTCCCGTCTATCTGACTATTCATGTCTAGTTTTGACGTTATCGATTGGCTGCACACCTTTGCGTGAATTTCAGATAGTAGGTTGTGTATGAATAGCATTAGATCCGGGAGGGTATGAAGGTGTGTATAGCGAACGAGATCCTGGTAGTCAGCAGCCGCAGAGGAGTCTATTATTATTTCATTAATATTCCTGCTGTTCACCTCGGCGGAAATGTGTGACGTGTTGCGTACGGTGGAAGGTTTTCTTGATCGTGGCAAGGCTTGTCATATTCTGGGTATCTACACCTCATTTATCAGAAAGGTGGACCGACACGTCAGATGCAAGATACATTACCAATAAATATAACCTCCTCATTTGCCTCGACGAAAATTCGAGCATAATCTAGTGCAAGGGTTTCTTTGAAACTGCCTGGGGGTCCAGATATTTCTAGTACGTGTCCCCTCGGAAGACCGCCACCGAGTGCCGTGTTTACAGCAGCGTAGCTACACGCAAGACTCTGTGATCTAGATATCAAAGAAGCCAAGGATTGACTCAAAGCCGGTCCTGGAGGCCGCTGTGATGCGGTGATTATGGATTGCGAGTCGGAAATATCAATCCCCAGTTCTGCGGGGTCATATCTTCTTCCAACCAGGTCGGCGGAAATTAACATGCTACGTACCCTTAGAAAGAGCTTCCGCGGAAGTGCTGGATAGATCGTCGAGTGTTTCGTAACCTGCGCGTCTTAGCATTAGTTGGGTCGAGGACGGCAGGGTTGGGTGGAGGAGGATATTCCTGGACATGCTTGGAACCTGGATTCAACTTAATGATATAGGTTTGATGGCCGTCCGCGGCAGATACACAGTTTGTCTTGTCGTTTGTTATTCAGATGACCGATGAATCGATGACCCCTCAGCGCTCAGTTGGTACAATTGCAAGAAGGACACGCGATAGCCCAATGGTTCTACAAAAGTCAAATTCACGTGAGTGGTCGCGTACATAAATACAACCAAACCACTCGCGGACTTTGCCGTTCTTTCTTGTTCTTTTTCCATCATCGCTGCAGGTTTCGTGTCGCTTACGACGATAGCTTTAAACAGCTAGACATTGCACTTTTCCTTTTCATTTCTTGTCGAGCACAATCGTTTGTTTTTATCACAAGCTTAGTTTCATCCTCCATGACTCGCGATACATTTGCCATCAAGGTTGAAAATATTCCCGAAAATGGTTAGTCTAATCATACGGAATAAAGCTGGTCTCACTGTATGCGTAGTCAAGTTGAAGGACGTAGAATCCGTTTTTAGTAGCGCCGTTGGTTCGTGTTCTGTCGCCTTTCTGTTTACACCCAGATCATATTATTTATCCCACATAGGTCCTGTTCAGCGTGCGGAGATTCATCGTGATGGAACGACCACGCCGTACTGCGTGCTATGTTTTCTCACATACGATGCCTTTAAGCAAGACTTGTACGCTCTCACCTTACTGTACCGACTGACCACATGACAGGAAAGCTCTGCGTCTGTCTGGTTACAACATCGGTGGATCCTCTATGTAAGTGCTTTTCAATATGGGGAAACTGAACAGTGCATATATGCGCCATTCAAAGCATCGTGACACCCGCCACCGATAACAAAACGTCGTCTCCAAGCACTGGCAAGAATTCAGATGCGCGTCGAAATCTCTATGTCCTCGGTCTACCCTTTGATCTCACCAAGTGTGCATATTCTTGGCTCCCACACCTTTCACGCTCACGATTCACTAGGCCTGAATTCTCCGTTTTGTTTTCGCGTTTCGGCACTGTCATGCACGCCGTGATTCTTGCTACTGTCGATAACGCATCTCGCCGTCGCGGGTTCGTGGTAATGTCATCCCACGAGGAAGCCAAACGTGCGATGAATGCGCTCTCACGAACACAAATGAAGTATTAGAGTATTTACTTCGAGATTCAAAGCTCAACCCACTGACACACCACAGAGGACACACCCTTGATGTATCTTGGGCCGTCGTGCAACGCTCTCAAGGTGCGGGCTCAATCCAGCCGCAAATACATCTTACTTATCCTTCGTGACAGGCTTCTTAGATGGTGCAGACAGAACGATGATGCTGGCATCCTCGAATCCTTCGTCACTTCCGGAAATGGAATTCGATCACCAATCCGCACCTTCGACCATCAGTACACCTCAATACGCCAGCAAACAATGGAATATCTCATTGGCACCTTCCTCGAAGCTGCTGGTATCGAACTTGCCGACCCTTCTCTTTGCTCAGGCCAGTGACTTGCATCCTCTGTTTTATCCTTTCGGTCCCATTAAGGAGGTGAAGCTCATGGATTCTGCTACGCTCGGCAATGGAACTACGAGCGCTCTAGTCGAATACGTGAATATCTTCAATGCTCAGGAAGCCAAGGACGCACTTCAGCGACAATTCTATGGAACCTCACGCCTGGAAGTCCGATTCATCCAAGACAATATCCATCCGGCTGACTCTGCTTCTGCTGCGTATGCCCAGTCTCCCATGCTACCGAAAACATCTGATGCCGGACTTAATCCCTGTGCTGCTCCTTTTGTCTTTGGATCTCGCCACTCATTGCCCTTGGCCTCCGGTCTTAGCTGCATTGCGCACGATTCGTTTGTCAACGACTTCTGCTCTCCACTCGGTCTTTCCAGCGATACCTTTCAAGTTGCCTCATTTGCGCCCCACCCTATAACATATCATCTCAGGACCCATGCTGCCGATACAATTTCTAGATCCAGCTCAGCAACGAGTTCGAGGTAGAACTGCTGTCTTCAAATAGATAAAGCTAATCTCTTCGACGCAGCTGGAGTAACGATATTCGCCCATACAGGCCTTCTCGTGCACCGTTCTCTTCTTTCACACGCGCGAACACACCCGCACAATTCACACCACTCTTCTATGCTTGATCGATCCACTTCCCCTGTGGAATGGACTCTATATCGCTTATTCGTGCTCTTCGTAATTCTAATGCTTCGCTACCTTCAGAAATGGACTCGTTGGACCTCCCGGCAAATACATGGCATCCGTGCATTAGTCTTTATGCTATAGATTCTTGTTTTAAGTATGTCATTCATGTGTTTTAGCTATCTGTTTGCTAAACATTCTTTAGTCTTAGAATCCCGTTCGAACATTCCATCTTTGTGTCGATAATAATTAGTAGTTTTCCGTCTTCCTGTAGTCGCTGTTTTGTTCGCCCTGTAGGGGCTGTAATCATGGGTTTTGTGTACGAAGTGCCAGTGTGGAGGCCTATCTTCGAATTCAATTAGAATGCCGCCTACTTCAAAGTTCTCTCAGCCACATTACGAGAGTTCGCTGTGTCCTGCCCGCACAAGTTCCCAGGCAGCTTACCACTATAATTATAGAACTTCAAAGGTGAAAAACATTCTTTCGAATGTCAGGAAACCAGGGCTTGCATTCACGTCCGAGTCCTGGCTCGAGACTTTTACAGAGACGCCTACATTCTTCCGATTTACAGAAGGGGTTTTTGGTAACTTCTCGATCATCATCAAGCAAGAGTCAGCAGCCCGTTGTATTACCCAACGCTGTCACAGAAGACGTTGACAGCTTGCCGGAAGTTCATGCTCGTGTTCCATCCGGAACTTCGACCTGGCAACTTACCAGTACCGAGAAGGGCAACGTCAGTGACCCATTTTTAGACCAATATGGCTTAGAATCAGAAACTTGGATGGGAGAACCTCCAGTTGAGTCTCCAAGGTCATACACAGTCGAGGAGCAAAGGCCGACACAGCCAGCACCAGGCGGCATTTCCAACCTTCCTTTGAAAAAGAAATTCTCCCCTGCGCTTTCCCATGCTTTCAAGGCATCAAGCTTCTCTTCCAATACTCAACCGCCTATCACTGAGCGATCTGACTCAGGGAACGCACCGACTCGAACACCCTCAAAGGTCCGCTGGGAAAAGCTACGGCAACATGTTTTGGCACCATCCCGTCCAGCTTCACCTCCTCCGTCTGCGCAGCTATCTCAAAGCCCTTCCCGACCACAGACGCCCAAGCTATCTCGTTTTCCGCGGCTTGGCTTCCGACATGCTGTGGAGCATGCACGCGAGGCTGCAGTAAACGAGTCCCGTCGATTTGCAGAGGAACTACTCCAAATTTGTTGGTCCTTCCGTGTTCCGGATGTGTTACGACAGAGCAAAAATGAGCGAGATGGGCCATTTGGTACAGTTGGCTCTTCGTTGCACCTCCCCTTCATGTCGAGTACGACTCTGAACTCTTTCGCGACTGGGAGTGCCATGGTGCAGGCTCAAACAACTCAGAAAGGACTTTATAGTAAGAGACCTTCCTCCACAATTTCAGGAGGGCAGAATTCCTCCCTTGTCATGACACTGCACGAGACCATCCTTCGTTATGCGTCGAAGAACTCGAATCATCTTCCTCACGAAACTCTTGTGCTTTCCGCTCTGTTGACGCCATTCTTATCGAGCGAGAGCAATCAGAATGTGGACGACGAGCGGTGGACTGCAATCGAGGCTTTCGAGGCTGCTGTCCAGACCTGGCAAGCGACATCGGATGATGTACGTAGTACGACTGTCGTCTTGCCTGTTCAGGCTGCTTACGATTTTATAGCTTACTATCGAGAGATGCATTTGGTGTTGCGACGCTGCGTCCATACCATCCTCCCTTCGGGCTCGCGTTCTCAGCGTTCTCACATCGCTCCTGTTTCCCCGCACTGGTCCAATCGAGCTCCCGAGTGTCCATGCGTTCCTTTCTCTAGTCCAAGCGCTAGCTATGACGTTGCTCCAGATACAGGAAGACCGAGAAGCGGCTATTCTAAGGGACATCATCTCGAAACTTTGCGACGGGACGTGTGGGAGTATGGCAGGCTTTCTCGCTGCAGCAGAGATCGATGGCTCTCCGGTGATGTTGGTCGGTGTGCGCCAGTCGGAAGTCAGGGAAGCCTTGGTTATTGAAGCCCTGGTCCGTTGTCTTGATCATGGTCCCCTAACCATGAAGCGGAAGGTCTTGCATGAACTCCTCCAGGTATAACTTCCCTCTTCAGCGTGCTGGGGAATAGCTGAACAACAAATTATGCGTAGGAATTTTGGACACCTTTATCTGTTTCGGGATCATTTTCCCCTATGATTTCAGCTATCCGTTCTCGAGTTGTCATAACATTCGCTCATGCTGCAGCTTTCCTTTGTGCATCTGTAAAATCGGAGCATTTAGACACGCAGAGCGTCTTGCATGTCCTGAAATCGCGTGTCATTCCTGAGATGACGTGTCTGTCCGGGAAACGAGCATCGGATGCCCGTGCCAGTGTGTCTAGGCTTTTGGTCGAGTTGCTCTGCCTCGAGAGGGTCACTCACGAGATAATTGGCGTAATTTGCGGTCTCACCGTGCAGTTGCTAGAAACGTCAGAGTGGAAGACGTCGTTGGAAAAGATGATGCAACACTTTGTATGTGCTTCTTAGTATCACTTTAATGGAAGATGCCTCACCCTTCCTCCTTGAACAGATTGCTGAGGGTGAATGGCCCACAATAGTCAGACTTTTGACCGCACTCTTTCACTTACCAGATGAGCTTCGCGGTCAGCTGTTCACGTGGTCCATACCATGTTTGCAAGAGGTGGGTGTTCCGACTCGCTAACGATAGCAAAGTGTACATTTGATAAAATATCAGAGAATAGTTGCAGATCCGCCACCTCTGCACTATCCGGAACTCACGGGCGTCCTAGACAAGGCATCACGCACATATCCTCAAGTATTCTTCAAACCGCTTTTCACCTGTGCAGCATCTTCGAAGGTGCTCACCATCAGCCATCAACTTGGAGTTATTGCTGCTATCTCGGTATTCCTTCCCGACTTCTGGACAAGAGATCCAGAGATGATATTGGTAGCATTGATGAACGAACCCACTGTTATCTCACAATCTGGGTCCAAGAGGAAGTGGGCACAAGCAAGGCTTGGACAGATGATCATACTAGTTGAGTTAATTGCGCGTGTCAAGGCGGTACCACGAATCAGCAAAGACTTTTCGGTGAGTCGATCCTGAGCTGACATATTTTAGACAGCATCGAACTTAATTTACAGCACCCTGAAGCCTCGGCCTTTACTCCAACCCAGTTTTTCAGTATGCTAGAAGCGCGTTTAGGTGTGTTATTAGAAATGAAAGTAAGCAGGAATACTCTGGTTTCGATGGATGGCTCGCGGTCTAATTTACATCATACAGGAACGAACTTCTCTGCTACCACTCTCCATGCGCTTGCTCTATTTGATCTTGTTTACAGAAATCAGACTACTTACACGATCCGTTAAGCGGTATGTACCATCTGTTTTTCCCTGTTTTAATCGAGGATTGAAATTTAGGAAGCCCGACTTGGCTGCGATCGGCGATTGGTTGGCTGTTACAGTCGTATATCGGAGCTGTAGTAGATGAAGATGAATCTTTGATTGTCGATGATGACGTCTTCAGTGACGTCTCGCAAGCGCTGGGCAAAATCAAAGATATTTACACTTCAACACAGGACAGCCTTCGAGCATCTTACAAGGTAGAGCTATCATTTCGCTTTGTTTGCCTTGATGCTGAAAAATACAGCGCCAAAGCACGATGCTCCTGTTGTCCGGCGTCAAAGATGTTTCTGGGGACTGTCCTGAACGCAGGACTATGCTTATGGACGTGTTACATGAGAGAATACTGTTTCTGTCGTCCCTGCCGCAATCACTCACCCGCCAAGCCCTCAATTTATTGGTGGTGATTTCCGCCTGCCTTACATCAGAAGATTACTTGCTCATCGGACCTTCCTTGTGGACACGGTGTTTTGATTGGGCGGAACCGCAGGCAGTGCTTTCGGTGCGTGTCCTACCTAGAATTACGAGCCATGGTTCTCACAGAAGTATTCTAGGCTTCTTTTCTGGTCATGCAGTGTGCAGAGAAGGTCCCACATAGCATACTTGAACTCATCAGGAACGACTTGCAGGAGTCAGTTAGAACTTCAATTGGTAGCGCATGGTCCTAACACTGACTTCACAGTGAAGACAGTGCTGTGAAGATCACTGCAATCCAACGCTTGGATATGCTGGTGAATATGCGCTTCCAGATTCTGTCTCAGCCTTTTTTATCCGACAAGGACCATCGGAGACCATTTAAGTTAGCTCGTGACCCGTTGCCATTTGTTCCAACCGACATTGGTTCAAGCCTATTTGTCCCAGAGCAAGAGGATGATGGTAACGAAGAGATGCCAATAGAACTGCGTAAACACTTAGCCGAAGTGGGATGGTTGGATGAAAAACAACCCACGGACCAGAAACGCGAATGGGTGAGGACACCATTGTCACTATTGCCTAGTACTCTTCAGGATCGAAACGCTGGCGCCACGGAGCGCCTTCAATCTTCACCACTGCCGTCCCCGGCATCCACGCCAACCAAACCTCGTTCCAACAGTGATGTTTCTGATGGCCACCTCAGTAGACGATCGTCAAATCCTACAAGCCGTGGCGTTAAACGCCGTGCGGTCTTTGTTCCTGTACTCGGGACTCTTTTCCGTCAACTGGTCTCCCTGACTCTCGATTCTTGTATTGATGTCTCATGCGCGGCTCGTGCCAGCGTCATGGATTTACTACGCCATGAGCCTGCTCTTCTTATTCGACCCATCCTCGATTTGCTTGCCAGCAATAATGAAGAAGCTGCCACGACAGCCGTCCGAGGGTTATTGCATCTAAATCAGCACCTCCCTCCCGCCATGGCTCATTATACATTCAACCATCTTGCTGGATACCTTAAATTCCTTGCTCGAGAAGTCACTTCACCCGATGCACTTCGCAACTTCGCTCTTACTGCTACTTTGTTGTCGAATCTAGTCACGCAAGTCAGCGAGATGTCCATCAGGGAGATTCGGCGAGCGAAGATGGATTTGTTCCTCATTCCATCCGGGCCCTTGTGGTTCACGGCGTCGTCTCCATCTGGCCCCATGTTTCCGAAAGCTCTGTCTCTCAGTGAGAGTCCATCCGAGATTCCGCCATCCTTGATATCAATCACAATGATCCGTGTGGCTCAGAATCAGTTGTTTTTATCCATGTTAAAGCGAAATCCTCAGGATGTCCGAGTTATTCGGAAGACTATGGAGCACATCGTTCTGCCTTCGACGGACGCCTTCTCAGCAACACGCTCTCTGGAGTTGCCAGATTTTGTACCGCAGCAGTTTGCACAACGGGATGGGCCGAAGTCGATTTTGACCACACTTTCCTTGATGCTTTCGCGGAGTCATCTTCTGCTCATAGCCCAGATT